TTGTGGTACCATTGGTAGTAATTTTCTAGACAGAAATTATTGCAGTCTTAGAAGATATATTCTAATTTTTTTCTTTTAAGTGCTGTTAGATCCAATTACTAGTGGTTGTTAAGAAAAATGGCCATGAATAGAATTAGAATTACTATGAAGTAGTTTAGAAATCTCACAATATCAACTCTTTTATCCATTTCTGTTTTGATAATTGGGCTATAGGTCTGATAATAATCACTGAGATAGGTCCTCTTTTTATACTGTGTTAAAATAACTCTTAATTGTGGAATTTGACAAACATTCTTCCCTAAATGGACAAGAAACTAGTTTCTCTTAAGCAAAGGAACTTGCCAATAAATGGGGAGGGAAGTTATCTTTGTTCTACAGCGCTGTCAGCAGCACATCATCTCTTATGTCAAAAGCCCACTGACTTGAATTAGTTTAAAGGATTTGTATGAGTTTATGAATTATGTTTTTGAGTAATAAAAGGTGTCCTTGCATCTAAGTAACACAAAAAGGAATATCATTCTTATAGACAATCTACCAGCCCATGTATAAAAAAGTGCTGAAGAATCCTGGTTTTGTTACAGGTTCACTTCAAGCTTGGATGCTGTTGTACTTTTTTGCTGCATAATTTATTAATTATTAAAAGCATATTGGATTAGGGTTTCACAGGATATTGACTATTAAGTGACATAATCTGAAACTGTTGGCCAAGACTTCCTGAGTATTAACTTTGTGTGCCACTAACTGTATAATTCTGAGCTAATTCCCACTACCTAATTTGTGATGCCTTAGCTTCTGCTGAGCAACACTTCTACTTCCAAATAGACTTGTTCATTTCCATAAATATAAATTGAATAAAGAAGTACTGGAAGTAAATAGTAACAGGATTCAGCCTGCATTCCCTCTCTTTCAGTCATAGAAGGTGTTAGTAGGTGGTCTTGCGCAAAGCAACAGAACAATGATTTTAAAAACTCACAAAATGCTCTTTATTTTCATGTTGAAGCTGAAGTTTATATATCCTCAGTATAAAAATGACTTCTTATTACCTAGTTTGTAGAACCATGATCTCAATCAGAGAGAAATCTAAGCCCTCAAATGGTCTGTAGAAAATCTGGGATTTGATAGTATAAATGGTAAAAAAATGGTGTTAGTGATGACACTGCAGGTGAATTTCAACTTTAACCTGAAATATTTAAGTTTTGATAATCTCAGAAGTCAAATTGTTCAATTCTTGTCAAAAGTCAATAGATTAGTACAACCTATCTTGTATTCTGTAGGCTGTGTGGTTCCCTAACAGAGTCCTAAAGAGATGACCTGATTTTTCAAATAGAAAAGTCCTTTTGGCATTAACTGAACCTGCAAGTGCTCACCACTTTGGAAAAACAGGTCACATAGCAATTTAATGTGCACTCAGGGGTTTGATTCTAGACTCTTGGTCTTTTAAATATTCATTGTGCTAGTCTTAATACATAGATGCATTGCAGTGAAAAATGCAGCAAACATATAAATTAGTAAGTACTGAACAGATCAAGTCCATTTCTGAAAAACAAACTTGATCTGCACAGCTGCCTGCACAGGTGTCCTTCAGGAAGAATAGAATGGGTTAGCAAAGGAAAAAAGATGCAGCTTCCTTCAGTGTGACAGTTGTCATTTGAGTGCTTCTCTAGTCTTGTTTATGCTCTTGAGTGGAATCTGTTGAAAGAGCAGTGTATTGTTGATCTACAGAAAGAAGGCATAAATTGAAAATTATGTACACAAAAGGCTGGATAACAGCCCAAAATCTTTTATCGCTATGTGGTTTAAACTTTTCCAAAGTGGAAATTAAAAATAGCAATCCATCCATAGCTAATACTACTTTGGACTGATACAATACTATTTTGCATAAGTATTTGCTAATTAATTAAAAAACATAGAGTAGGTATTAAGTGTGGGTAATAATGCTTTACCTGTTTCTCAAGAATGTTTGGGATATTAATTATGTTCTCAAAACTACACTGCAGCTAATAAGTACTGAGCATTATTATTGTGAATTGGGTTCATTTAATAAGTAAAACTGCTGGAGTTGCTTAAGTCTTTAAACACATTATGAATATTTCAGCAATGCTCATGCCTGATGTGCCCTGTATTAACATTAATTTGAAAACATATTTTTTATATTTATATATTTATTTATATGTACAGTGTATAGACTGAAATTTATCACGTGTTTTTCTGGGGAGGTGGAGAACTTGAACTGACCTCAGACCTCTTGGCAGATCTTCTGGGCTTTAGCTTTATACTGAGATTCTTTTCAGGCTTATTTTCATATGCAACTCTTTTTTTCTCGCCATGGGGTAAACTGTAAATGTAAATCATCATAGCAAAACACTGCATTTTACATTAAATTTTGATTCTTTCTCTCATTTTTTATGTCTCAGTAGACTTCAGTGGGATGTCAGAATATCAATAAATGGGTTTTTGGAGAATAAGCCTCTGTGACTCCAAAGAAATATTAGTCATCTATCAAAAAGAGTCTGTGAAAAAATAATTTGAATTTATAACATGGAAAATAATTTGAAAGTAGTTTTATAGTTATAAAGCCAGAACACAATGGTAGCAGGGAACCTTATAAAAACAAGCTGTACTGTCAGGTGTATGTAAGCAAGCTACCAACTATTCATATTGCCAAGAGGTGAAAGAATTTCTCTTAAAAACTCAATCTTAGCAACAGGAAATGTCAGAAGGTGTGAAAAGTCTGGGCTTTTCATCAATCAGAAAATGACTTTGAGTTATAGCCTTGTCATGTGGCTAAGAAAAAAGGAAAATCTAATCACAGACCTTATCAGGCAATGAATTACCACCATTATATTGCTGAATTCTCATCCAGAATACCTTATCCATGTAGTCAGCCTTACTTTGGAGAGATGAATTCTCACTGGAGCAGGTGTGGGGAATGGGGAGTTAACATAACCAACATATGGCAATTGTCCCTCAAGACAGGAATGGAATATCTGGCTTTTGAGTGCTGGGAGCCCTTCTGCCCAGGAGGGCTGCTGGTATTCTGGGGGTGCATCAGGAAGAGCTTTGCCAGGAGATCAAGGATGGTGATCCTGCCCATTTTCTCGCCCTCAGTGAGGCTACATCCAGAGTGTTGTGTCCAGTTGTGGGCTCCTCAGCACAAAAAAGACAATCAGCTACTGGCGAGGGTCCAACAAATGCCTACAAAGATGATGAGGGGTCTGGAGCATCTCTCCTATGGGGAGACACTAAGGGACCTGGGCCTGTTCACACCTGAGGAGACAGTCCATATAAATATCCATATAAATATCCCAAAGATGGTTGCCAAGAGGATGGTGCCAGACTCTTTTCAGTGGTGCCCAGCAACAGGACAAGGAGCAATGGCCATAAACTAAAACACAAGAATTTTCACCTCAGCATAATGAAGAACTTGATTACATTGAGGAGGTCAGAGCACTGGAAGAGGTTGCCCAGGGAGGTTGTGGAGTCTCCCTCTCTGGAGATATTCCAAACCCACGTAGACAAATTCCTGTGTCTCCAGGTGACCCTGCCCTGGGGGAGTGGTTGGACTAGATGATCTCCTAGGAAGGAACTAGAGGTCCCTTCCAACCATAACCATTCTGTGATTCTGTGGTATGCTGGAAATAACTGCAGAAGGCAAATGTACAAGTGGAGTCAGTCCAGCCAACATTATAAAAAGTAAAAAGAAATGTTACTTTTAAATTAAAAGTAAATAAAAAGGATATTAATTGGCGATTAAAAAGTCAGAATTTGTTGAGCAGTCTGTTGGGTAATGTTCTGGACTTGGTTTTCAGTTTGAAGGAAAAGTATGGAGAAATAGCTTGTCTTCTTTCATGACCCCTGATTGCAAAGATGAAAGTTCATTAACAAAGATCCACTTCACTCCTTTGTGGTATGTTCTTTGCTACAAAAGACCACTTAAGACACTGGCATACAAAACTAGAAAAAATGTGTTGAGACAGATTACTTGGTGACTCTCTTGCCCTGAAAGTGAAATGGATATGGTGTGCTCATTTTTGAGTTTTTGCCATATTACAAAACCAGTAAGGGAAAAGGTACATGTTATTAAACTTTATCTAGAGCAGTGTCTGTGTTAGCATATCAGTCCCTGTAGACCCTTTATGTTGCTTTGGAATTAAAAAAATTCCAAAGGTACAGGTTAACGCAGGCCCCTGACTTAATCCCTTGTATTTGTTGAGACGTAATAAATAAAATTCTGTTTTGTTGACTTTTCATTACAAAAGATGCTGCTGAAGGAAATAATGATAGCCAGCCTTTTGATATAATTGTTTCAAGAACCAACCTGCCTCTGGTATTGCTTAAAACCTTTGGTCCTTAATACCTTATTGAAAACTTGGACGATATATTGATTGTCAGAACAAAAATTTCTCTGAGGCTGTAATCCACCTGAACCAATCTGGACATGCTGTACCCAACTGCCAGCTCCAGTATGAGTTAGATCAGATGGGTCTGATATGAGTTCACATCAGATGGGTCATGTGAAGGTGGTCAGCTATCACCCAGCTGCTATGGCTGGTATGCAGAGTTTTATCCTGGACGTTAGTAATCCTTGCTTGCCAAATACTACTTTAGCTCCACACCTGAATCACAGTCTTGTGGCCATGGATGAGGGCTGTTCAGTACCTTTTAGGTTTATGGTGCGTTGCTATCAAGAATATCCAGCAAAAATCCTCCATTGTTAACTCTTCAGTGACCACACACGTGTAAATGTTCCCAGCAGCATGCAGGGGATACATTTGTGTTCCCCAGTACAGCTTCAGCCTTTGGGTGAGCAAAGACACACTTCTTTGGGCTGGAGGACTGTGACAGTGCCCAGCCTTTGTGAAATGTGCCTCACACCCTTCCTGATCCCCACTGCTGTGACCATCTCACTTCATCTTCCTACAGCTTGTGCAGCAGTTTGTTCAGGGTTAATTCTCTTCACTTATTTCCCTTTTTTGTTTTCTTATTTTTGCCTCTTACAGATGGACAAAAGAGGAAGAAGTCATTAAGAAAGAAACTGGACTCTTTAGGAAAGGAGAAGAACAGAGACAAAGGTAAAATGAGAACACACTTAGTGATCAGCTCTTAGATTTGTATATGAGATTGCTTTAGTCTGATACATAGTTTTTGAAGTACAATGTTGCTGAGCTGATATACTGTCTAGCTATTTATTTTCTAGCTTAAAAATATGTTTTATCTTTTCTGTTTGACTTCAGTATAACTCAGATGTCTTCAACTGAAAGATTTTGGTTTATTTTTCCTGAGAGAGAAAGGAAGAATTAAAGAACTGCATCTTTTCTCCAATGTTCTTTCTCCCCATTTTCACCATGCGGTGCAGAATGTGGTCTGTATAATGTGATCCAGTTCTTTACCTGCATTACTCTCAATTTACAAAGCACAAAAACCCAGCATTGCCCAAGCAAGTCAGTTGGTGTGCTTTTCTTTCTTTAACCTTAGGAAAATAGCCATTGTTTAAAATATATAAATGCTTCAGTGCTACTGATCAGTTGGATTTTAATAAACTCCACGTGACAAGGATTTACAGATACGGTTGTACTCTTTTGTTTGGACACTAATCAGCTTTATGGGCTGGGCCCTAATCCAAGACCTGAAGTTGACCTGTAATTTGGAGCCATTTGAACTAAGTCTGAATACTGAGACACTGGAAAGTATCTGTGAAATTGCTTGTAGGTAATTGTGCATCTAATTCTGTGTTCACTTCTGGAAAAGTTCTGGAAAAATGGTTGTAAAACTCAGTATTGATATCTCAGTTTCACAAACATGCACACAAATGCAGGAATTTGTGACAGAGGAAGTGACCTGGTTACTCTGATGTCCTCCCCACTTTTAGTCTGGTTTAGAAGAAGAATGGAACTTTGAAATTCCACTGAAAAAATTAACATCCCCATTTCCAAGTTAGTTTAGATAGCTGTGAAGAAGAAAATACTTTTAATTTTTATTTATTGATGACTTAAAATACATGATTATTATTTTCTTGATTTAAAATTGGTTATGGGAAATATTTGTATTAATCTTCCTAAAACTGAATGCGCCCTGACTCATTGGTTTGATACATCCAGTGGCTTTTTGTATTATTACATTGCAAGTACCAAACTTTTCATTTGTTACAAGAATTACTTGATATATGACTGAGGCCACATGGAGGAGGAGTCATTAAGAAAGAGATTTAATGATTTTATAGCCATCTTTGGGGGAAAATATTTTTTGCACTGTCCTATTAATGCATTACATTTGATTACGTTGCATTTAGTCAGTCACTTCATTGCTGGTTTTTTCTGTAGTTATTCATGCAGATGAGAGTGCAAAGCAACATAGCTCTGTGCAAAACCTGCCCTGCTTTTCAGTGTGTTTGCCAGATATTGATCTTCATGGGGCCTGTGAGGTGCTCTTCTATATCAGAGAAGGTTATCCACATCCTGCATTTTTGTTTTGTCTCTCACAAATTTTTGGTGTACTGAGAGCTTTCATCTTCCATCCCTTAGGGGTACCATGACTTTGGTAGTCTCTGTTGAAAGTTTCTCTTTAGAACTTCTTTTGAGAGTTAAAAACCATTTCAGCTTTTTTTTTTCCCTCTCACTTCTTTTTTCCTTACTGTAGAAGATTTTAACAATGATAAATTGCATTGGTAATTCACCAAGCCAGAATTTTGCTGTGTCACCCGAACTTGGTAGATCTTTGCAGTTGCACTTTCAGAGCTCTACCAATGCTCTTTGGTGCAGTGCTTTGAGAAGTGAGAGTGTCCTTTTTGTGATGGATACAAATGCTTAACCCAGAGCTGGTCTTTATTCCACTAAAGTCTCTGTTGCCAAAGATCTTTCAAACAATATTTTTTCTTACATTGCCTTGCATTCTATTGTATTTCAGCTGACCTTTGTTTCTAATAATTGCGCAGCTGCACCAGTTGAGCACTTCAAGATAATATTATATTCTGCTATTACAATTCTCTTCAGGGATTTTCTTGTGTGTCTACCTTGCATGGTAGCATTTATACTCCATTCAGTTAGTAGATTTGGGGATATACTTTATTTTTATTCTGAAGGGTTTTCTGAGTGCACTTTGCCTTTTGGGGACTCACTGGTTGCCACAGTAAACATCAGCACTTTGTACTTATTCATCATTGTTTAAATTTATCTACTTCCTGGTTTTCAGCCTTGCTCATACTATCTGGTAAACTATACGAATAATTTTCAGAAACCACTATGCTGATTATCCTAATTTTAATTCCTTTTTTCTTATTATTATTTGAAATTCAGATGTTTCAAACATATACCTATCTGCTTTTATCCTTTTTCTTCAATGTCTTTCTGTCTTATTCTGAGTTATAGAAGTGTTTTACATGCACTCTCCACTTACAAAATATTATAGGAGCACCTTCTGAGGGGAAAATATCCCAGCACTTCTCAAACAGTAGAATCTGTATTTCTATCCTCCCTTTATGAAAAACTTGAGTTGGCCAGTAAGGGTCCAGGAAATTGGAAGGTGCCACGTTCTGAACAGGTTGCGTTAGCAGAGTGAAAAGAAAGGCATATCTGCTCTTACTAATTGCTATCAGCAAATGTTAGGCAAGAATTACCCAAATAGCAGCATATGGCATCTTACTTGTCAAGTTTTCTGGCCATGGTTGGTTCTGGTATACTTTTCTCTGCCATTCTGAGTTATTAAAGATCATCTGCCCCTCGGGTACTTGCTGAGCAGACTCCTAATGCATGACAGCAGAGGGAATGAACAACCAGGGTTGCTGGTTTGTGCCTGGGGACCATCAGCCTGGCACTGGTTGAAAAGTGGCCATTTTCCTGTGGGAAGCAGCAGCACCAGCATCTCCTCCAGCCTCAGGAGTTAGAGGGAACAGGATTGCCCAGCTTTCAGTTGATGAGTTAGCTCTGGAAAGAAAAATGTAAGGCCTTGTGCTGCTGGTCTCCAAAAGCATGAGCCTGCTATGCTCACATCAGAATTGAGCCCCATCACCTTCCTTGAACAGTGGCCTCCATGTCACCTGAAGTCACAGTTAACCTCCCTCGACATGTCTTTCAGAACAAGCTTGTTTTCTAAAGAAAGTATCTTCCATTTCTGGGCAGCCGGTCCAAGACAAACACTCCTCACTGTGAGCATGGGTGTGCTAGCAAAAGGCTGGGAGCACACACCCACCCAGACAGGTCCCTAGTCCTCATGCCTGAAAGGAATGCCTTCCTTCTGTTTATTTTGGGGACTTTGTGGTGGGTTTTTTTAGTAACTAGTCCAGCTGCACTGTTGTGAGAAGAGAGCAACAAGACCAGACCACAGGACGTTGGAGGGGAAGCAGGGAACTGATTACCAGACACTTCATAGGGAGGAGATGCAGCTGCCTTAATGCTTCATTTCCATCCCTTCAGCATCGCTTTTGTAAACACAGTTGCAGTTGGGAGGGTAATTAATTTCAAACATTTTTCGTTTTCTCTGTCCCAGCCTGGGAGCCCTCACATACCCAGACAAGCAGTGGCTGAGAGGACCATGTTGTTGGTCCAGCCTAGCGTATGTGCCACCTGAAAATCTTCTTTTGTAAATCAGACTCCTCAAGGTTAATCCTGGCTATGATGCAGCACCATGTGATCATGTGTGTTGTCTGCAATCAAAGATAACAGGGATGTGCCTGGCACAGGAGGCCACAGAGGTGGAAAGAAGGGCCCACCATGCTGATCACCAGGGATGCACGATGGAAGCCTCACTGCAGCTCTTGCCTGACAAACCCTGTCCTGTAGCACCAATGTGCACTGACTTGCCCCATGGTGCAGGTTTCTGGGGTTTCTCTCTCTGGAGAGGTGCCAGCCCCGTTCAATTTGTGCCCAAGACTGTTCTTCCCCACCCTCCCCACCAGATAAGGAACAGTACTCATTTTTTCTAGGACTGTTTGGAGATTTAATAGCTTGTATTTTAGGACTCAGTCCAATTTATGGAGGTTTTGGTTTTTTTTTTTTGTCTAAACTTCACATTTTATTTAGATGGATCAGTCAACCTGTCTGTTAAGTGAAAGTTTCAGCAACTTGTCAGACTTCTGAAGGCCAATAAAGACAGTACAGTAGAATTTAATGCACTCTAAATGAGTTTCGTGTCTTTGTCCTTTTTTGTATCTGTCAACATCTCATTAAAAGGGGAGAAATTGTAAAAGAAGTGTTTTTTCAATTGTTATTACATCTCTGAGTAATTCACCAAAGCAGGATATAGCAAAACTTGCTGGATGTAAACAGTCTAAACAGGAGAACAGCACTCCACTCAGACATTTAAGCAATATTTTCAGCTTCCATCATTCAAGTGTTTTTGCTTTACCCGATCTCCTTGTTATTAATGGCCATCATGACCCTCAATCCTGCTGTCTACAAATGTCTCCAAACATTGGGTTTGGCTGCTGACAAACAGTACTCAGGCTGGAGGAGCAGTAACATGTCCGGGCTGCTTGGAATAAGACATTCTGCCTGGAATAAGACATTCTCAGGATGCTGTGCATGCTGGCAGCTGGTGGCAAATCCCTTATGAATTCAGTGCTAATTTTTACGGCAGCAGAAGCAGAGTCTTTGGCCGTCCCTTGCCAGTGATATGGGTGCCAGCGTAAGCAAGCCTACTTTTAAAGTACACAGAGGCATTCCTGAGAGAGATGCCTCCCAGAAATTACTTGTCCTAGAAGATTTTATCAGTAAACCAAGTTTGTTTTGCCTTGGTTCCAGAAAACCCTACAGGTTAATGAGGAGACCTGCTCAGAAATAATAATCACTTGTTATGTGATTGCTTGAGTAACTGAGTATCATCCCTTTTGCTGATGTTTCTGCATGGAATGTAAATACTTGGCAGGTTCATCTGTGAGGCCTTAGCAGAGCTGCTGAATGCAGGACTTCCTGAAGAAAGGCCTTCCTGGTGACTCTGTGGTATATGCAAGTCCAGCAGATGTTCGACTTTTCTTTAGTTCAGAGCTATTGAGAATGTCTTTTGTGTTTACTTCCTGTTCATGCTCAGCAAATTAAGATGTATTAATTAATGTTTGCATTGGTTCTCAGTAATTCAGCCTATCGTGGTGTCCTTGGCACAGCCTAAGGAAGCAGCTGAATAAAGGAAGTTTCTTTTTTATTGTAGTTTATCAGAATTTTTTTAAATGCCTTTCCACTGCCTTACCATGCCTCTATAAAAGCATTGAATATGTTCTCTCTCTCTCTCAGGCATAAAAAAGATTTTCTTTTAACCCACATTGTGTCATACTTTATACTAAAGTCACGTAAAGTACCAAATTATCTCATTAATTTTTTTGTAAAAAAACCCCAGGCCTACTCCCAGAAAAAAGCATAAGTAATTGGGAGGGCCTTATATCACTCCTGGAAGGTTAGTGAGCTCTGAGTAGCTGGAGAAGAGATTTTCAGCCACAGAACTGATGCTGAGAACATTGTCTGATCTCGAATCTCCTGGAGTCAATGCAGGTTTTGAAGAGCCTTGATATGGAAGGAGTTTTGCAGTTCCTATTATGGACTGAGGTTTCTGTTCTCCTTGTTTTCTGCTTCCATCACAGTGTCTTCAGAGCTGAAATAATTTATTTCATTTAGCAAAACAGTTACCCTGGAGAGATTGACTCAAAGACCCCATTTAAATATCCCTTTAAAAGCTTGTTGTTCTCTGATCTCTATTCTCGTCATTTAAATAGATGTAGTACAAGCACCTTAGTAAATCTTGGTCACAGGATTTTAGCAACCAAAAACCAGCATTTATGATGTACTTAAGAAAAAAACTCTGAATGCTAAGGACTCAACTGTAGTTACTTTTCACTTTATTAGTATTGAAAGACTCATTAGAATCTAGAATATAGACCTCACTGGTTCTTAATAGACTGTTTTGTTCTGCGGGATGGAAAGCAGCTTTCACCAGCTGAAACTTCAGAGAAGTCTTTTAAACCATATTTGGACAGGGTGACATGAGGTCAGGTAAGCTATAACCATGTGGGTCAATATCCTGGAAATTATTGTTTGGTTCGCAAAAAGGAGGGTTTGGGATCACTGAAACTCTTATTTGATCTGGCTAGGAATTTTTCTGTGACATGCTGCTTTTTATTAGAAAATGATGATTTACCACCAAAGAAAGATTTCTTAGGAACATATCAGTTTCAAACAAAATTTTGTTAAGAAATTTGTCTCAGCTGCAAGATTGACTTTCTGGTAAGAGAAATTATGCACTTCTCCAAAATAGTAAATTGTCTCCTTTGCCAGTAAACAATGAAAACTGGAATGTTATTAAAAGTGGTGCTAGTTAAGAATACGAGCCTGTTTGCAAGCTGATTGCTCAATCTGCCAGGTTGTTTCACATTTTTACATGATGCTTTTGCAAAATGTCTTTTTAAACTGCCCAGTCTCCTCATTGAGTAAGTGATCAATTTTTTGTTGAGTTTACAGAGAATAAACTTAGTAGCTTTGGCACTCAGTATGTATATAACAGACCAAGGTTTGAGCCACTGCTTTAGGGTACATTTCTTCATGCAAATAAAACTTTTCTGACAGAGGGGATCCCCAGCCTACAGCTGTAAGACAGTTTGTCCTTTTTTCCTTTCTTGTGAGACCAGAGCCTCAAACCTACACATCTTGTGACTTGAGTTAGTGCCTTTCTCTCCCATCCATGTGTTCCTAATTACTTCACATGAGTACAGCTTTTCTTTTTTAATGAATCTGAAATGTCAGAAGGGCTAACATTCACTCTAATTACCTGTCCAACAGGGAAGTTGTTGGGATTGAATGCTTCTGAAGAGTGGTGGGTAGGACATGCTCCCTGCCACCACAGCCCATGGTGCAGCACACACATTTTGGTGGGAACTTGAGGCTGTAGGCAGTCTGCAGAGGGACAACTGATTTTCTTAATTTCAGCAAATGAGCAAAATGTTACTGGGCTTGCCAACTCCTTAATGTAATTACCACTGCCAGCCAGCACCACTACCATCTGTATTTAGTCTGAAATTCAGCCAGTTGGTTTTCATCCAGTTCCACATCTCTGCCAGACACTGAGAAATCGAGGAAGCGGTTCATGTCCTCTGAGAAGGGCTACATCAGAGCAGCCTGGAGTGGAGGCTCATTGTCCTTTCTCTGGCCCACACTGAGCAAGAGCAATTAAAAACCTGGAATCCCACACCAGAGAGTTTCCAAGGAGGGGCAATGCCTGCATCAAAATGCCAGCCTTCACACACTGAAGTCAGGGAGAGGGTCATTTTAATGAAACTTGTTTAATGAAGCAGTGCTGAGATCTCCTCTCCTGCTGATCTTGCCCCCGTTGATGTAGGATCAATGGCACCAGCATGCTGTTGGGCATCACTTGAGCTAAATACTGCTGTCCTCTCCCAATTTGAAGCACAAGCAGCTCTGAGCTAAAACAGGGAAATATATTGTGTTGGCTTTTCTCAGGAAATGTTATAGAAGGACAAATGAAAAGGGGTGCTGGGAGTTTAAGAAAGCACTCAGACAGCCAGAGGGGAACACATGCTCCATATGTGTATTTCAGATTTGTCATCTTAAATGTTCATTAGGAAGATAATTCAGAACAGTAAAAAGTATTTAATATTAATACTGTAATAATTTTATAGACACACTCTGCTGAGTACAGGAGGGAAAGGTCTAACTGAACTCCTGGCAATCTTGCAATCCCTGCATTGTTTGATATCTGTGTGATGATGTTCTTTCTTGTCCTAAATTAAATACAGATGGTTTTAGGTGTCATTCTACTCATAGGTCACCTCCAGAGCTGCTTGATATATGAGGCTCTGCTTCCTGATTTAGTTTTGTCTGGCCACCAAAGTTAATTCACGTCTTAACATTTCATGCTTCTAAAGAGCAGGAATGTTTCTATCAAAACAGAACAACGGGCTGTTGTTTCTTTAGTGTGATAGACTAGTAGTGTCCTCATTCAAGATTCTTAAAATATCCTCTTCTTTTCAATGCCTTACTTTAATGCAAATCCAGATGGAAGTGTCGTCAAAGACCTAGTCAGACTTAAAATCCTAAGAGGAATTTTAGCCTTTAATTATTTACACAATTGTAAAAGAGAAGTATAGTATGTAAGAATTTTTCTATGTGCTTCTTTTTGTTATAATTCCTTTTTTGTTACTTAAAGAAATTTGGTTTTAATCTCTGATGCTTTATTTATTCCTGATATGAGCATGTCTGAAGCCGGAACCGAGTAGAAGTTACACTCTTTTTCACTAGGGTGAACAGCATCAATAGCTATTTTTTTCATTTCTTTTGAGCATAAGCCAGTTCTAATTGGAAATCTGTCTCAGTAGTTTTGCTTCAGGTAATCTCAGATCCGATTTGAAAATTATTTATGAGAATTTCATTGTTGCTGATTGATTCACTGTAAAACATTTTTCTATTTTGTAAAATATTTAAGCATTTCACTTTGAGACCTGAGATATATGCTGGTTTTGTACATTACAGTTATATTGATGTAAGATAGGGTTACCTTCTTTTTCTCAATTAAGACAAACGTGTTCTCCTGTATTTCAATGTGTCCGTGCTCTTTTACTGTTACGAAGGAACTTTATACTGATATGCCACAATTAAACAGGTTTAATCTTACCAGTATTTAAAACAGTATAGTTCTTGTTTAAATTTAAAACTATATCCTTGAAGGTTTAGTCTGAGTGGTGAATGTACTTTGTAGCTCTCTGTGCAGGCAGATTCATATCCTCTGAACTGTTGTGAAACCCGTGCACTCCCAGACTCAGATGCCCTACAGCATTTATGAGAAAGGAGCCTGGTGAGGGATCTGAAACATGAGAGGGAGCTTTGGCACAGTCCAGAGAGGCTCCCCAGTCTCAGGATGGTTACCAGGGCTCCTGATGCCCCTCTGTACCATCTACATGTAACCAGAAGTGCCGGACTTCTGTTACTTTTGGTGGAAGTTAACATCTTAATTAGATCTGATCTCAAGTGATTTTCCAAGACACTGTGCAGTGTATCTTGCATTATGTGACAAGAAACATGATTCAGATACCATGGACTACAATTACCTGGCACTGTTGTTGTTATTGAGTGCAATACTTCATTTACTGTATATAAAAAGGGACTTCAGATTGTTTTTATTAACAACGTAAGAGTTAATTCTTTTTGTACTAAATAAATATCAGATGTTTGGTAACTATTAGGGGTTTGTTGTTGTCGTTGCAGAATTTATTCCCCAGGCTTTTGGAATGCCTTTGTCTCAAGTAATTGCTAATGACCGGGCCTACAAGCTCAAGCAAGACTCTCAGAGAGAAGAGCAAAAAGATGTTTCAGATTTTGTGGCCTTTCTCTTGCCATTCGGAGCTAAACGACAGAACAAAGAACTTTCAAGCAGTAACTCATCTCTCAGCTCAACCTCAGAAACACCGAATGAATCCACTTCTCCCAACACACCTGAGCCAGCGCCACGAGCACGGAGGCGTGTAAGTAGGCACATCACAGTGGGGTGTGTGACTGTGGGTCCAGAGGGTCTGGCTGGACCAGGAAAAACCTGGGGTGTGTGTGTGGACTGTGGAATACTTTTTGTTCGAATAGTTGTTTTTTTTCCGGTGGAAGTCAGCCTCATCAACATCAGAAAACTCTTAACTGTAGTGGAGATCTTCTTTTACTGATGCTGGTGGGAAAAGATCACATAGACTCTGTGGGTCTGTAACAGATCGCAGAGAAGCAGAGAGATTATCTCAAAGTCTTCCTGTTTGCTCCCTTTATCTACCTCCTCCTGTCTAAGTCTTTTAAATTTAACAAATTCCATCTGTCTTCAACCTAATTTTTTCAGCAGGAAAAGTCTAAACTTACGTGTATGATATTTATAGGTATAATTATCTTAATCTAGCTCTAACCTGATAATAAGTCTGACTATTAATCCTGATCCTTATATTAATAAAAATCCTCATGGTCTAACCCATATCATATCCTCCATGGTAAGTAAGGAAGTGTCAGACTAGATTTGTCTAGATTGTCAGACTGGATTTGTACCAGGGTCTTTGAAGGATGTTTCTGCATGCAGGCTATGAAGATGCCTTTGACAGCAAAACACTGAGTGGTGGGTTTGGGTTGAATATTAATCAACATGTAAAATTGATCCTTTTTTTAGAATAAATCTTTTCCTTGTAAGTAAATTTTATGCTCTGAACTTTACAGTTGTACAGTTAGTAATTTTTTTTCTTCTGTTACCGTGGAATAGAGGTTCTAGACTTTACTGCTTTTTTGATTTCATTTGCAATGGTGGGAGAAAAACATGCATAATAAAATACTTTGAATAAAAGCCCTGTTAAGACATCTGAGCAAGAATTTAAGTGCAAGAACAGACTTTGGAAAAGAAGATGTTTTCTTAAGAACCTTACCTTTTTTCATCCTTAGGATAAAACCTTCTTCATAGAAATTCTCTATTGGGCTCTTCAAACCAGGGTTTAAGAGGGGTGGAACTCTGGAGTAAATTGCAAATTGAGAGAAGGCAGAAGGCAGGTCACGGGGCTCTTTGTTTGTCTAAGCTGCCAGCTGAAGCTTGAAGTGTCTATTTTCTGTCTGCCAAACTGAAAGCATGATGCTTGCAGTCTTGTATATGCATCAAGGTACATCTGTTGGTCTGTGCAAACCATATGAACAGTCATTTGTGTGCACAGAAGTGTAAAGTAACTTGACTAAGTGTAAAGGGAAACCCATTAACTTCTTTCAGAATTTGGCAGTCAGTGACAAAAAATAAAAGTTCACTGTATGTACTCATTGGCTTCAGAACCTTTCTTTCATAGGAGAGAAAGACAACTTGTGTGGCCAGAGTGAGTCATCTGCTGCTCTTTTTACAAAGTGTGAGAAGATTTCTGACGTGCATTTGACCAGTGAGCAAGCAGAAGAACGAGGATCCTTTAGTACATCCATAGAGATCCATCCGGACCAACTTCCTAGAAGTTGAGCGAGGGTTTTGCTTGTTTTGTTTGTTTGGATAGTTGATTGTTTTTAGGGTTTTTTTGTGGCAATACTGGTATTGCAGCTTTCAGAGTGCAGAATTGGAGCCTTTACACCATAGCTATGAGGAGAGGCAGCAGGACATGGCTCAACTACAGAGAAGTAAGAGTAGACTTAGGTAGTCAGTATGACATGAGGGAGCTGGCATTTTCTCTGGAAAATGAACTTAGCTAATTCATTTCATGAATTTTCAAGTATTTAACATTAATATCAACCCATGCCCCATATCTTGTCTGTCTTTATAATTCTATTTATTAGTGCAATTACTCCTCTGCTAATTTAGGGATGGTAAGGAGGGCTGCACTTATCTTCTATCTCTTGAGCACCATTGCACTGTTTGCTTTCAATTGAAAAATGCTTACAAAAAAACCTAAAAAATTATTTTTTAGTGCATGCAACTGATACAACCAATTTATCACAAAAATGCTGCACAGATAGTTGAAATGCCGTCCTCTTAAACCTGAACTGGAGGGATTGTTTATCATTGCACCGTTCGCTTCTGTGTATTTCAGTGAGTCTTCACTCAGCTGAGACTTTCAGTGAGAGGTAGAAGGTAATGCTGGCTGCAGAGCTCATGGTGTGAGTGCTGTGGTTCTCTCTCTTGCAGCAGCTTGACAAAAATCACTGTTGCTGCATTTTATATGTAGGGCTTTTGCCCAGCAGTTGTAAGTTGAGTCTTTAAATTCCACTTTCCTTCGTGTTTCTGTGTGCTTAGCTTAAGACTTCCTCAGTGTATTTAGGTTTTGAACTCGTCATGGGGGAGCAGGGACTGGTATCCGTTATGCACAAAGGTAATGCCTGGTAGATGGAATTTGATTTTCTTTAGCTGCTGGGTGCTGTAGTTCAGGTATCTCAGTGTGTGTGTGTTACTAGACCTGGAGCAGTGGGCAGTGGTGTGCACAATCTCTTCCTCCACTGTTCCTCAGCAGTCAGGGTAGGTCTGGCTGAGCCCACACTGGTAGGTCTGGCTGAGTTTGAGCTGGACCCATGGAATATGTTGGTAATGTCTTCCTGTGCACTTTGTAAAATCAGGGCTGGCCTGGACTTGGTATTGCCAAGCAGTGACTTCAGTCACTGAAGTCAAGGTCACTCTTCCTAAAGCCAGCTCAGTGTGCTGGTTAATCCACAATTTTGATAAAATGCCCAAGGACCACGTTGAACCATGTATTTGCATCTATTTTAGGGATCTGAATCCGATTTAAGTGACTCTGATAATGGTTCATGAGGTTGCTTTGCAGACAGGAAAGGACCAGTAAAGGCAGGGTATAAAGGCAGGCACCTGTCACACAGGGGCTGCAGGGGTGAGGGTGGGGTTAGGATTTTCATTGACAATTGATTCATTTGATGTTTGGAATGCCAAACTCTTAATTAAAATAAACATATAATTCAGTTGGAATTTTAAACACATAGATCATAACCAGAGGTTCTTGTTTGTTTTGGAGGGTTTTTTGGTTTTGTTTTTATTTCCTGTTGGCAGGAAATAGTAGAAGGAATCAAGCAGATGTACACCAGAAATAAAGGTCAAAAGTTACATTCTAAAGGGTCTAGTAATTCTTTATAGTAATGTGGGTAAAAAGAATCTAGAAACTTCACTGTACTTCATTTATACATCTACCATGAGTTATGAGAAACAGAACTAATCCTGATAAGTTAAATGGAGGCTTTTTTAAGGTTTTATGAACTAGATATTTGTCAATGAGTTTGAAATCTAAGTGGACTTTCTGTGAGTTTTGCCTATGAGTTGAAAATCTTCATGAAGTTCAGTTGGCTAGGCTGATGGAACAAAATACAGCTTGAAATTCCCTTGTAAGCAGTTGTACAATTCTCATTTAATAAATGTAGAATTCTGACTAGCAGTCTATAAATTACCTGTCAGCAGAAGTGTGCTTTTAATGAACTATCGTTTTCAGAAAAGTTTTGAGTACGAATTTACATTTTCTTTATTATTTCTTAGGATGATATGCTGCATCCCTGTACTGTACATTTTATGTTATGGTAAAATTTATGCTTTGTTTCCGAAAGAAAGAAAATAGTTTATAACAGATTTTTAATAGGAATAAAACCTGAATTTTTTCTTTGTGTTTTATTATTATTGTAGGACTACATGTACCCTAGAATTTTTTCGCCTCATAATTTTAATGAGAATTGAGAGAAATGGTAATTTTGAAGTGACAGTAATCTTGTGCTTTGAAAGAAAAAGTCTTATTTTTCAACTGTGAAAATTAAAACATGCCATAAATCTCCTGTCGCTTGTGCTGCTTTATCCTTTACAGACTGCTTGAACCTCTGCACCTTGCTGTAATCCAAACCTGGCTTTCAAAGCTTTCATTGGAGTTTTAATGATTTTAAAATATAAGATACGTGAAGCAGAATTATTTAAAAAATACTACCCCTCAACTTCTCTGGTGTATCTTTATTCTGTGTTAGAGTGGGATTATTTCAAACTCCTCAGCTGTATTTGTGATATTAACTGTATATGGTATATGATTGTAAAACATTTTGTATATGTTTCACTGATACAATGGTCCAAGCTACAGAAGAATTAGGCAATAAGAATACAAAATATCTGTATATCTCCATGCACATGAATATGTGTATTTGAATATGTGTACTTCAGATACTGCTGAGGTGCACCCACAGACCATGATTCATCCTTGCCCTGCAGTATATGCAGGCTTGCAACAGTAAAAAAATAGAGCAAATGAGTGGAAAGCATTTTGGTTTTCAGCATTTTAATTTGTATTCATTGTAATATGAGAACGTTTGTACTGTATTGATTTTTCCTATCCATTACACTGGTATTTATAACGTCATTAATTTATAAAAATTGTAGCTAATTAATAGTTGCTAATTGTATTTTTATGTTAGTTTGTTTAAAATACAGGTAGGCAAAAGTCTTTGTTGGATGTCCTGTGATGCTGAGATTCCCCAGCCCTACTGATTATTCGTGTGTGTGTATTTTACAGGGCGCAATGTCTGTGGACTCTATTACAGATCTTGATGACAATCACTCAAGACTATTGGAGGCTCTCCAGCTCTCTTTGCCAGCAGAAGCCCAGAGCAAGAAAGAAAAGGCAAGAGATAAGAAACTAAGCCTGAACCCTATTTACAGGCAGGTCCCTCGGCTTGTAGATAGTTGCTGCCAGCACTTGGAAAAGCATGGTAAGAATATTTTGTTTTCCCAGGAGTGGCAGATGTATTTTTACTATAATATAAATAAATGCCTACTTTGAGAAGTAAGTATATGCATCCATTTGCAAGGACCTCTTTGAAAGCTAGACATTTTCCCTCCTGTTTTGCCTCTTGCTAAAGATAGTGTCTCTCAAGTAATTCTGTACATGATAACTTCCCAAACTGAAGATCTATGCTACAATCTTGTAAAACTGGCCCATAGAGCACAGGATGGAGGCTTTTCTTGGAGGTCACTCACCTTGTACTGAGGTGCTCAGCCTTGCAGGAATGGCTCATCACACCCCACAGGTTTACCTGTACCTTCAGAATAAAAAGTCTGAAATGTGCCATTCAGTCTGGAGCCATTCTTCACAACCAGTGGATCTTAAGGTGTGAGATCTAGATGAACTATTTATACTAGTAGTGCAAGACTTGATATTTGAAGGTGGGGGCTCAGAATAAGAAAGAATTCCTTACTAAATATATATTAAGCTCCAGGAAGCCTCTTCTGTTCACTGCAGGGCTTGAAGGGTGAATACTCAGTTTATCTCTGGCTTGATTCCTCCTGACCAGCCTCAGGCTCAGGCCTGGTCTCTGCAAAGGAGGTTACTGACTCCTGCCACTGTTCTTCTGTCGTGTTAGTGATTGTCCAGGCACAAGCCTCCCACAGCTTTGCATAATGCAGAAACAATAGGCAGTCTAGGTATCTGATCACCATCTCTGCCAACGTGTCTTATCCTTGTAAAGCTTTTTAATGATAATTGAAATAACTTGGCCACAGCAAAATGGAGTTATCACATGGCCAGATAATCAACAAACCATAAAATAATGGTGATTGTAGCAGCAAATGATGTATTTGATGCTAATTTCACCAGCAAGAAATCATTTACTAACTCTGAATGAAAGGCTTTTGCAGATGAGGGTCTACGATTTAAACAATGCTGAGCTTTCACAATTTATAACTGAAAACTATCTTCCTTACAAATGTATCAAGGAACACTGCAAGTCTTTTACAGAGATTAGATACCATGGCTGATAAGTAAGTATGGGATAGTTAAGTTTGAGATTAATTACTTCCATCCCTTTAAGCAAACGTAGCTGAATTTGGAGAACATAAAAGTATCTGAATCAGCCAAAAGCCATCCAGTTGAGTATCACTTGGATACTGTGATTTTATGTCACCTGATCATCTGTGATAAATTTTTTAACAAAATTCTTTTCTATGTGATGCTTTTTATGGAAATATTTGCTTTACAGAAATATTTGAAGTTTCCTTTTAAAGGAAGTTTATGCTGGGTTATTGTGCATTGTTTAAGAGTAAACTATAATATACCACAGTGCAATAATCTGATACAATCTGGGGATAATTCTTCAATTTTCAATTTAATCTGCTGTCCACAAGAAACTGAGAGAAATTTAAAGATAGTAGAAGATGGATACTGTAGCAACATCCTTCTGGGCTATATGATGGATCAAGTTGCTAATTCTGAAAATACTTACCTATATGCATAAGTCCTTTTCAGCAACAAATCACCAGCAGTTTCTGATGAATGCTTTAAAGGATAATTCTGAGCATTATATGACAAAAAGTGGTTATGTTTTTAGACATTAAAGCCCCTGTCCTTGTTCACCTTCCCTATTTTCCCTAGAGTCATGTCCCAGAGATATAAAGGCTTTCTGTAGACCTGCAGTGTAGAACAAACACTGTATGTCTGTGTAGGAACAGGTAACCAGCCTGCAGATTTTGCCCAATGTGTGTATTCTCCATCTCAAATGATTCCCTGCCAATGTTGCTGGGTTTACTAAATGATAGTCCATCAATGTAATTTTCTGTTAACCAAAGAGAGAAGATTTAAAAAGAGATTTTTATGTTAAAAAAACCACAAAAAAGCAGAATCTTATCTGTCTCTGAAGATCTGCAACTCCAAATACTGCTCAAGGTGACACATCTCCAGCAAGCAACTGTAGCCTAATGGCTGTCAAAAGTCATTTGTCTCACAAGGTAATTTTACATCTCCTGTATGTCAGTAGAGATTAGAGCTGCAAAGAAGCCCTTGTTAGATCATAAACTTCCAAATTTATAGATAATTTCATGCCTTTTGCAAAAGTGTATAACCATGTAAAATTATATTATGTACACTGGTCCTTAAGGCTCTAAAATTTCCACTCACATTGTTATTGCTAAAGAGCATGTCACCTCTTCAATTTTTCAGACCCTGTTAGTCTGCAGGATATGTCCATTTGAGAACCATATTATCATGTGTAGTATTTGTAGTGGCTTTCTACAGGGCTAGAAGAAGGTTTGAACTGTGGTCTTATGAAACAGTGGGCAACACCAGTTTCCTAATCACTTTAAGTCTAAATGACACAATTTGCCAAAAGTACAACAATGCTTCTTTATAGCTTTCCCTCTATATAATACTTATTCCTACCTTAAAAACTGCACACAACTCCCAGTTGAAGTTCTTCCCTGTCATAGTCTACCTGAGTGCCCTATTTATGAACCTTTGAAGGAGACTCTCAACTTTGTCTTGACAGGAACTTTAGGCCCAGTGAGTTACCCCAAATACCAACTTCATCCTGTATCCAAATACACAGCTCAATGCCCACGTATTTAGTTATTTTACTGCCTCTTTCCTTTGATGTCAGTCCTGGAAGTTACACCTCCAAACCCTGAGCAGTGTCTCAGTCTCTCATAGCAGTGACACTACCAAAGTGGCATCACAAGAAATGTCACAGAGATGCCATTTTGCAGATTAAGTGTGGTCCTTAAAAAACCACAGAGGATAGCTTCTTAATCACAACTGAATCTTGCATCAATGTGGTAAGTATACGTTTGTGGAGAAATATGTTGCTTTTTTTTATTATTTATTCTTATGAGTACACACATAGTTCAGAATGCTTTGGTTCAATGCAGTTTTCAGGAGAAAATTAAAAACTAAAATAGTGCTATGATGTATTACACTTGCAGGTCTCCAGACAGTAGGAATATTCAGAGTTGGAAGCTCAAAAAAGAGAGTAAGACAGGTGAGTGGATATGGTTTTCTTTCATGAGCTATGATACAAATAAATCTGATTACTTTTGTTGTGTCTTCTTCCCCATCTGTAGCTTGGTGAAATTTAGGTTTTCTGGGTCAGTGACTTCAATAATTTTTTGATGGCTCATAAAAGGCCATTTCCAATATCTTTTACATCTGGTGAAATCCTTGTCAGGTTCTCAGCAGGCTAACAGGCTCTGTATGTTTTGCTCTGCAAAAGTAGCACAGAGTTGGAGATCCAAATAAACTACAGTGAAGAAATTTTCCAAAGGTCACACTGCAGGGAAAAAAAAATCTTGGCTGTTCGTTTCATCTCAGAAACAGCTGAAGCTCCCAAAGTAAGCTCAAACTGTAAATCTTTTTTGGAAAACTCACGGTATGAGAAAACATGCAAGTACAGAACAATCTCTTTGACCCTAAGATCTGTGCTCCTAAATATCACCTTTCTTTTACCCCTGACTTCATGGTCAGAGCAGACCCTTCCAAGTCTTAGTCTCAGTCAAATTATGAAAAAGCAAAGATAGTGTACAATTAGGTTCCAGAGATAAAGTCAAATGTGGATGTTGGCTCCTAGGTATACCTACCTAGATGCTGCACTGTAATTCCCAGAAGCTGGGAATACATGTTGAATTACAGCAGTGGAGAATGGTGGTTAGTGTTTGCATGATGCATAAGGAGGGGATGAAAAGTTAGAGGAAAATGCCCTTCTCAGGAAGTTAAGACAAAAAACATCAAACAGAAAAGAATGCAAAAGAGAGCTTGACTCCATCTGATCACAGAAGTTATAGTTCTTTGCAAAAAGATCTAAAAACTTCATAGTGTAATGTTTTATCATTCTGGAAAGTTGCCTTGAATAGCTAAATTGAATTGATTTTGGCTGGTAGGACAGTATACCCTACTGAATTGTAGCTCATTCTCCAGCAGTTTCTATTCCTGAGTAGCTGGTACAACACTAAGCTAAAAGAAATCTGCAGAGGCAGTTTTCAGATCAACACTGATCTAGATAAAGTGCTGAAGTTGCCTCACATTTGCATTGCAAGCTTCAATGTTAAAACATACATTATCATTTAGGGATGAGTACAATTGCATCACTGAGGAAAAAGCAGAGAGCTTTCATCATTCACTTGTAAACTAAGCCTTACTTTGAACATCAATAACTTTTACCACTTTTCGTTTTACCCTGCTTCCAAAAGGTGAGGAAATCAAGAGATTTTGGTATCTATGTTTTTTATTACATGGACTAATTTATTGAACTTGGTAAACCAATATATTTCATTAAACAACAAGGAAGCATCAGCTTGGCCCTTGTGATTACAGAAGTAAAAGCTGTCAACATGAACACATGGGAAAGTCTGGGTTCAATTAAAATTCCACTCATTTTCTGAGCCATAGAAAGCCAAACCCAGCTCTCAGATTTTGGTGTGCTTTTGCAGCTGTTCATTCGTTTTTCTTGTGTAGAAAGTAAGCATATTTTGTTTTCCTTCCTTCCCCAGTTAGAAAATGTCGTTTCCACTGTAGTTTGTTGCAGTAAATACATAAGTAAGTAGATGCATGTGCCAGCAGGGTTTTTGATTGGTGAGCAAGAAGAGAAAATCTAGAGCACGTGAATCTCTTGCAAACCTCCTCCTTCATGTTCAGTGGGGTGTAGGACAGAGATTGCCAAGCTCATGTTCTCAAGCATCATGAGATTCTCAAGCTCAAGGTGTTAGATCTGGAGCATCAGGATGCCAGGTACCATCTTTTGCCTGGAACAGATGCTCGAGTGGAGCATTGTTGCCAAGGTTGGGATGGGCAGCCCTTGATGCTGGGCCTGGTGACATCGTGGCAGCTTCAAACCTGAGGATGGAGAGTGAAATAGCTGGAGCTCTGCTCTCCTATCCCCTCTTCCAGCACATGTCCTCATCTCTCATATCATGAGATTCAGTGGATGCTGAATAGTGTAGTTCACCACCTGTATCTTCCAAAAGTCTGAAAGCATTCCATGTGACTGGAGGCTGAAAGACTTAAAGTTGAGGTGTACAATATACAGTTTTAACAGCCATGATACCCGGGCCTGAAATGTGGCCACATCTCACTAAAGCTTCTGTCATATTTTGCTGCTTAGGATATCTCTGTAGGTCTCACAGGATATCAGAGCACAAGTGCCATATTCAAGACTGTAACAGCAGTTTATGATTTAGCCAGCAATTTGAAAAGTCTGAATTCCTGATGCAGTGCTAATGGGTTTCCTCAGCTGCTTTCAGGCATTTAAGTGCAGAAACAATCCTCTGGATTGAGGTAATTTATGGTGCTCTGCAGGGATGTTCTGCATTTTTTACCAGTCTGGAGAGTAGAATTAAGCTGGGAATGAAGTCCCCAAGCTGGCACTGGAAAATCTTTGACCATAAATCTAAGAATAATATTAGATAAAGAACATATTCTGGTCTTCATATAATAATTATTCATTATTAATAATGACTGATATTAATAATGGTAAAAGTAATACTAATAAATTAGAATGGAGGCTGTGGTTTTTAATGAATACCTGTCACACCCATTATGAAAGCACAGTCTCAGCTGAAAACAAAGGATTTTCACACTGAACACACTCAAGATAGTTTTGCACGTGGTCAATATTTGTCACAAATTATTGTTTGCTTGTGACTTAGCTTCTTCCCTCTCTTTGATATGTTTTGTAATATTCCTGGTGAAGAAGTCTGATACCTCAGATTTCTTTGTTTATAAGATTTAGCTGTAATCACTCTGGGAAGATAGGTGTGACATTGTCATACCTCATAATGTTAGCAAAGGTACACATTTTTTCTAGGAAATAGTTTTAAAACCTCTTGACTGTTTTCAAAATGCCAAAAGAGTAAAAGGTGAAGATGTCAGCCTGAGGAAAGTATTCTGCTCTTGGTGCTGAAAAATCCATGCAGAAGGACAGGCTTTTACCTTAAGGTATCTCAAATCTGGGAGATGGTTTTCTTCTGCCTTTGGGAAGTGTGATGCCTTTGAATTGTACAGAATTTGTCTGAGGACCAAACTGGGAAAAAAAATATAGCAATACCTTGTTATGATGTTAGCTTGCTATTTGTGAACTCTGTAATGATGATTACTTAATGAGTATAACTAAATTTGGAAGGCAGAACAAGGTGTGTGTGAAGGAATGCTGTGAAGTCTAGTGAACCTGTCTGCTTGCTATCTATCTTTACATAGTCTTAAATGACAAGAGAAATGTGAATTTGGTGGATATTAACATGATCTTAATAATAATGTTTTTCTAAAAAATCATAAATGTTACGAAATGCAGTTTTAGTCTTTCTGGTTCCAGGGATAATGGAGAAAGGTGATATAAGAGCCTGTCTTGTAATTTTCCTTATTCTCTGGTTTCTGCCTTTGCTATGAATCTTGCATTTCTGCAAAAATTATACTTGAATACATGTTTTCATACAAGAGTGTCATATATTAGCTGGAAAAAAACCCTGTATTTTATTACAATCTGGTACAAACCTAAAGTTACGTATTATGGAATAAGCAGCAGTTAGATATGAATTATATCTTTGACTTTACCAAAGGCAAATCATGCTCAATCTTGAAAGTGAAAATGAGTAAATCTGCTTCTTAAAAGATTTTCTGTGTTGGGATGTATTCATTGGGACAAGAAATAACTATGGTTTTCTCTCATAATTTTTTTCAGTTACGTGAAGAGTTTGACCGAGGTGTAGATGTTGTATTAGATGAAGAGCACAGCATTCACGATGTTGCTGCCTTGTTAAAGGAATTTCTGCGTGACATGCCTGACCCACTTCTCACCAGAGAGCTTTATACACCTTTCATCAACACTCTCTGTGAGCTCTACAACATCTTGATTTATCAATTTTCAAAAGCTAATCTATTTGAATTCTTTGATCTCTACTAATAGCCTTCTTTTTTTCTGTTCCTTTAATGCTCTGGCCTTGATTTGCTCCAAATATTTGTATAATATACTATGCAATACATATGCAATATAATATAATATAATATAATATAATATAATATAATATAATATAATATAATATAATATAATATAATATAATATGGTATATTCTTTAGTATACATTTACTGAGGTTTCTTGGTTTTTATAGTGTGTAAGAATTATCCAGAAAACTAGAACAAGAGGGATTTCACTAACTATAAGAATGGAATTCATGTTGTCTGTTAAAACCTGACCCTGTCATTGATCCAGCAGTACCAGGTCACAGACTCCCATTTGAATCCTCATATCTTAAAATTTTAGATCTGTTTACTGACCACAGTTCCAGCTTGGCTTCAAAAATTCAAGTTTCTTCATAGTTAATGGTCCTCAAAGCCATCATATTAAGTACTCCCAGTTGTGTTGCCTAAGACCCTCTCAGAGATTTAGGAAAAAGTGAGACTGGAGTTTTCAAGCTTGAGCAGCTGCCTGGAATGTGTTCTTCAGATGCTTTCTAGCCCTCATGTCTGAGATCCTGCCTCTGTCCCACCTTTGTCACTGGCTATCATGTAGATGGTAGATGGTTCAAGTGGTGGTGGTAGTAAAATGTCTTTTATTTCTCTGGTTGCTTTTCCAATCTCCTGGTACTTCTGCAAGATGAAAAACTGTAAGAAAACTGATTAAAAATGGCTAAAGCATAAACCTGACTGGAATGCTTGACAGCTACTGTCATATACCAGTAGCTATGCCTAAATGAATGGAGTAAGTAAGAAAAGTAAGCAGAATATTTGAGTCCAGTAACAGTGATGGAGTCTAAAACATGGTTTTTGCTCTCTTATAGGTTAAGAAAAATCCTATGAACTTGTGAGCAAAATGTTAACCAACTAAGGCAAAAATCCCATAGCAGTAGTTCTTATAGTTTTGATGTTTCCTTAGAGTTTTCTCTTCTGATGTTGTAAGGAAAATGATTCTTAAACAAAGCTATTCCTATGGGTTGGGAACAGTATATTTGTTCTGCTTTTAGGTTAGTTGGAGTGATTTTCTTAGAACATATTTTCTCCCCTCTTAGTATTAGAGCCAGATGAACAGCTCAGCACCTTACAGCTTCTCATTTATCTTCTACCTCCTTGTAACTGCGATACCCTTCACCGGCTGCTGCAGTTCCTCTCCACAGTAGCTGGCCATGCAGAAGACACCAGAGACAAGGATGGCCAAGAGGTAAGTCCTGGTCACTTGTGTCCTTTGACTTTGCTTAATTCATGGTCTGAAAAGAGATCTTAAAAGCCTTGAAACATACACAGTGATGGCGTAGCCCTGAAAGATGGGAGAGACTTAATCTATTTGCCTGCACTTCTGCCATTTGTTTACTATGTTCTTGGGGCTGTGAAGGTTTAATTTTTGTATGACTTAATCATAAAAACATCTACCACTTCCTTGGGGAGATTCAGTGTACCAGCCTTGCTGTCAAGAACATCTAATGTCATCCATCCTTCCCCTGCTGCCTTGTTTTATCTCATTATATTCTATGGGAAAAATAGTCAGAAAAGGTCTGGCATGCAAGGATGTACTTTTTCATTTTATTTTCATTCTCTGTTGTTGCTTTTTTATATGACTTTTGGACACAGCAGTTCGCTTCTTGGTTCTCTTAGCTTCCTTGTGTGCCCTGAGTAGTGAAAAATAAAAAACAGAGGACAGGAACTCCAGCTGTATCCTTGCAACTGACAGACTTCATCACTAGCTGGAGTCAGGGTTCGCCTTTGCCTGTTTTCCTTCTGACCTCCTTAACTGTTGCGGTCTGGGCCAGATTCAGGGGAGAGTTTGATGTGCACTCACCCCACAGAGACAAGAATGCCCACAGCTGTGGGGCTGAGCTCTAGCCCTGAGCATTCTCACATAGGCACCTGTGCCCATTCACACTAGAGAAGACCTGAAAATCCAGGGTTCTTGTTTCCTGCCAGGGAAGTGCTTGAACGAGTAGGCTGCTGTGCAAAAGTTGCTGTGCAACTCTGTTAACTGAATAAAATTGATATAATCTGTCTGTGCTTGCCAAAAATACACTGGTTTATCTGTGGAAGGGTTCTCAGTCCTCTGAATGGCAGCAGAGACTACTTCTGACACTCCTAGGAAATTCTTCAAGAATTTTGTCTTCCAGATGGAAAATCCTGCTGATTTTGTCCAATTTTAATGCCTTTTGCAATTGCCTGATTTTAACAATTAGCACTTTGAGACTTATTTTTGCCAAATTTCTGCCTCAGATCCTAACTTCCAGTTATTCCAACTTTACAAGTCGTAACTTCCAGTGTTGTATGTGACTTCAAGGCCTAGTTAACTTTTAAATGCACTTTAATTGCTATTAATTTTGTTTCAAAAAAACGATATCACTGTGATGGAAAGCATTTAGAAAGAGCAGCCTGTAACAGTTTTACTGTGCTTAAAAGCATGTATAAGCCAGCTAAGGTCATGGTCCCCCTGGTCCTGCAAGTAGTTCTCTGTTGGTTCAGGAATGTACCCAAGAGGATCTTATTGCAGGGCTAAGGGGATGCTGCTTAACAGAGTTGATTTGGCTCAAGTATTGTACATCAGCTTTGCCACAGGTATTTTGGCAAGGCAAGTTTATGTAAGCTGTCCTGACAGTATTCTAAGCATCAGGAATATTATGTGCAACTGGATACCTTTTATAGATAATACAATATTCTGCTCACAATTGTTTAAGCTATTTATGACGAATTAAGTGAATAAAGGCATACAGGGCAGGAGAAAGTATTTTATCAGACTGTTTGCTATCACTGGAAGGAAAACAGCCAAGCTTTGGCACACAGTCTCTCTTCTTGATTTCTTTCTACAACCCTTCTCACATGAAGATGAAGATGGATAACTAACTTTATTAAAATCACTCATTCAGTTAATTTCAGTGGAAATATTTACAACATTTTTTAAGGATGCCCTGAGGCTGCCCTTAAGAAAAGGCTCACTGTTTGTCCAAAGAGCCTGCACTTGCAGATCCAGGCACAGCCAGAGGCTGCCCCAGCACACTTGAGGCACTTTGTGCCTGTGCATCCATGGTGGCTCAAAAGTCAGAGTTTGAAAAGCAGGTCACCTGAGAAACTGCTGGGTGCTTGGTGCTGTGCAGATAAGGGTGTGCTGTTCTCACAGTCGTGCTGGGATGAGTCTCTAAACAAAGAGCCAACATGTTTGCTGTGACTGCCCATGCACCTACTTACACACTGCTCCTACCAATAAAAAGACAAGCTTTTTACTGTCATTTCTGTGCTATCTAGTTGAGTTCTTTGAAAAATAAACCAAGTGTAGTCAGTGCAGTTTTAAGTTTGACTAGAGTATTGGGTGAACGATCAGCTACAAAATAATTTTTAAAATACTACTTTGAAGTCATCTGTTTTGTGCAACTGACTTTTTGCAATTCTATTTTTACTACCTCTTTTTGATGTCTCTTTATATCCTTTTAAAAAATTATTAATTCAAATTACCTATGGCCTCTACTTTTTGCTTTGTTGAAAGAATAGAAGGAGAATATAGTAGTCTAATCACAATATGACAACGAAATTTTTGATGTAATAATGTATATGACATATTTTTCAGATAATTTCTTCTAGTCTAGTATGTATTGTTAGCCTTTTACTTCCTCAAAATTCAGTTTGCTTCCTTGAGCACAGTTTTATAAAAGTAGGAAAAAAGGTAAAACCCCAACAAACTAAAAAAAGCCACCTAACAAGTAAACATTTGGCATGTTCTAGAAATACAGGGAAATGCTAATAAAAACAATGAGCCTGCTCCTTAATTATCTCAACAGTTTAAACATGGGAAAGTATCACTGTATATATTTCAAATCTTGAGTGCTACTTGAGAAAGCCAGGAGCTTTCAGCCTTTGGTCCTAGGAAACAGTAATGTGCTGAGGTGCTGAAGTAGGAGGGAGGTTTCTCTGAGTTCAGAAGTATGCCACTGTTGAGCTCCCAGGGAATTAAGGGCAGAAAACACTTCCACTTTCTACTCCTGTAATCTACTTGAAAATGTATCCAGGAAATCTACAGTGCTTGTTGCAGAGATGTTTGACTCAAGGTGTTTCTAAAAGTTGTTCATTTTTTATTGACAAGCAGCAGGATTTGGTTTTGATTAATGAAGCATCTACCAAATGAGGGGGGGAGAGAGAGTATGTGTTTGTGTGTGGGTGTGTAGGGGTGTGAGTGTATATAGATGTGTCTGTATACATACCTGTATACACTAGGTCCTGTGAGACCCCACCTGACTTTTATTCTCTTTTCTAGATCACTGGGAACAAAATGACATCACTTAACCTGGCCACCATCTTTGGCCCTAACTTGTTGCACAAGCAGAAATCGACAGACAAAGAATTCTCAGTTCAGAGCTCAGCTCGAGCTGAAGAGAGTACTGCTATCATTGCTGTTGTGCAAAAGATGATTGAAAACTATGAAACCCTTTTCATGGTGGGTGGATATTTTTTCATATTACTCATATACATTTGTAAGATAATTGAGAAAATAACTGACTGATATTAAAGTAGATGGGGATGAAATAAACTGTAGAAGCTGCATTAAACTGGGATCAATAATTATTGGTAAAAAAGAGTAGTCTTCTAGCAAGGAGAATGATTTGCAGTAAGTAAAAATACTAAAAATGTGTACTTGTATCTTGCTTATAGTGGTTTCTGTGTAGGTAAAGGTATAATGTTTAGAAGATTGTGAAAATGATAGGCTTGGCTATTCAGTTGTATACTGAGCAATGCATGGACAAGACTGAAAATGATCTTTCACATCTCAGTTTTGGAAGTCAGGAAGACAATTTTTCTGCAGGGATTAAGAGATCTTTGATTAATTTAAGGAGTTGCCTTCCCTACCCAAGATTTTTTTTATTGGTTGGGTGGAGAGGAAGGACAAAGCTTTCTTGTTTGTTAGCTGGGTAAAAGGAACAAAGCATAAATCTGTGTCGTTCCTGAGTCCCTTTCAGTTGTCTTGCTGAAGGAAGCAAGTTCTTCAAAGAAGGCTGATGGCCTTGGACTTGGACATGTTTACTTAAGATGAAGCTTAGTTAGATCACATTTCTCATGCCTAGCAGTTACTTGGGCATTTCATTCTGTGGCTTTATCTTCTGCTCTTTTTGTGTACAAAATTGTAGGTCAGCTCAGCATGACTTGTGTCTGAATGATCCCTGCTCTGGGGTAGTAGAGGCCAGTCAGACCTAGTGGTGGTCTTCATTATTCTGTCTTCATTTTAGCAAAAATACACATAACAAAATCAGTAATCTTGAAAAAGTGGAAAAAACTTTGGTTGTTGTGTCCTGAGACTAAGCAGCACTATGTTACACTGAGGAGACAAGTTCCCAAAACAGAAAGATCACTCTGGAAACCTCCAGTGCTTCAGCAAAGCTGAGTGCTGGCGACCTTGTTGGAAGAAGATGAACAGCCCTGAACTGTGGGCTGATGGCCACATAGTACTGTAAATGGAAGATGTCTATCGGTTTTCAACAGGGAGTAGAGCATGAGAAAGCAATCATGAGCCCTGCCTCAGATGAACTTTTTGTGGTTTTCCTGCCTTTTATTTTTACTCTTGTACCAGTGAGATACTTGCAATCATTTTCTTCTTTTTTTTTAGTTTTTTGGGTTTTTTTCTTTTTTAAAAATGCTTTTCACATTTGGGGAAAATGCTAGGTGCTATTTTTCCTTCCACATCAGGAAAAGAAAGTGACAGAACTGCAGTCTTGGGTGAAGGTCTGCTGGCCCAGAGTGTGGATGGCACTATGAAGTTTAAATTAATACTTGAATAAGAATACTTACTATACTTGAAGTGTTCTTATTGTTATTTCTCATTAAGAATTTCTTACAGCACAGACACATCTCAGTACATAATACTTGAGGCACTCATTCTGACTTTCAATGTGGAAAGGATGTGGCTAAGGTTAGACTAACCTGCATCTAGGCTCTTTTGATTCTGATGGATGGATTTATTCCCTCATCTCTTCAGTGCTTCAGCTTTCATCTAGAGGTTAAATGAGGTGTGGGAAAAAGAATTTCTTTTGTTTTCCAGAGTTTCTTTTACTGTTTATACTTGACGTTTATGCTACATAAAATGAAGAACATCTGGAGTTAAGCATTCAGCTACAGCTATAACATGGTGCAATAATGCTAAGATGCTGTTGTGTTTGGGTTTTTTTTTTTCTTTCTGTTACTTTTATGTATGGGGAGGTTATAAAACTGTGATTGGTTTCAGCATTGAAACTGGAACATTTGTGAACCAAACCCTAGGAAACCAGAAAGTGGTGGGGTACCCAGACTACAATATCAGAATGATTCTGACATATTGGTGGGTCAGAGAGATTCTGTTTATTGGAGCAACCCAGCATATTGAGCACCATTTTTACTAAGTAACTGTTGTTAACATCAGTAACATGCAATAGTGGATTTCTTATAGAAGATGGAATCTGACCATGCTTCATTGATGTCAGTGATGATAACCACTTTCATGTCCAAATCTTGCCCATTTCAGTGAGTCTTGGGGATGTATGAAAATGTTTCATGGGGATGTATAAAGGACTGTTCTTTGCCAGCTGAATGAAAGGAGACACAACTCAACCACCCTTCATTTTTGACTTGGCATGAGGGATGGAGAGCAAGCAGCTTGTTCATGTATTTGATCTCCTAGTGTCCAAATCCAACCCTGTTGCAAAGAAGTGCTACAGAGTGTATGAAATTTCATATTTTTACAGTTAGTGGCTACTGTGGCCTTCCCACTGTGGAGGCAGCCACACACTGCCCTTCTGTGCCACATCAGTGGCAAGGGACAGCACAAAGACGACACTTTGAGGGTTCCTCCATCCTTCTGTGTCTCAACAGCTGTGACTCTCATGTAGCACCCAACCTCAAAATCTCACCATATCTGGTACTCTGCTGGAGTTCTGACAACCCTAGAGCCCTCTAATATGTCCCTGTATGTCCTCCAGAGTTGCTATTTCAGCAGTGCTTTGGCATCTCTTCTGTCTCAAATTTCAAGTTCTCATCCATCTACTTAGGTGCAATTACCAGTGAAACAATTAAGTCAGTAATAGTTATGGTGATATCTTCCTGAGATACTGATATTGTAGTTCTCTGTAAGTGTAAATTTACAATTACATGCATATTATTTCTAAACTTGCCAAGTTGCTGAACTAAATTGAAGACAATTGCTGCACAGGAGGAAGCCCAGACCCAGTAGGTAGCTAGAAAAGAGACCATCAGCACAAATGTACATGTAGATTCATTCTGGTAAAAGTCTGTGAATCAGTAGAAGTGTTAAGTTTGGGTTTCATAGAAGCTTTTATTGCAACTGAACTTCTGGTGGAACTTTTTCAGACTTGTTTTGGTGGAATGAAGGACTGATTTATCTTCTTTTTTTTTTCAATAAGGCAAGGAGTATTTTTATTTTTTCTGACAAAGTTCTCTCAGTAGTTTCTTAGAAGTTACTTGACAAAAAGCTGAGTAGTAAGTTACATACAAAAATGTGTGGATTCTGTTTTACCATGAAACTTTATCTGGAGTTTCTTCTAGTGTATAGAAAAGCTATCTAAATGGAGAAGTTACAGTATACCAGTTTTCCAAAAATTATATTCCTATAAAAAAATTGTTTAAAGACTAGTATATCAGTGACCATCAGTAAAATATTTTTCCAGTTGAGAGACTGAATATAATGAAAAAAAAAAAGTGGTTACACAAGTTTTGTGTAGATAGAGATTTTGGATCAGTTTGAACTAATTATGCATATCTTCATTTATTTTCTAATTACTTCCTTATTTTAAGAAATATGCCTTTTCTGTAACTAGACTCCCTAAATACCTCCCAAAATGAGATCTTCCTCCGGGGAGTGTGTTAGTAATTCTATTCCTATTTCCCAGGAAATGTCAGGGGGAATAAATGGTCCATGAAGTGTGACTTGAAGGTCAAGAGATTCAGGGTCTGACAGATTGCATCCAGAAACGTGTATTGCCCAGCTGATGACTCCTTGCTGAGACTGTCTTGCATCGAGTTCCATCTGTCATGAGTGAACCTGGGCTGTTCAAGTTTCTTTGATGGTTTTATCTGTTTCAGTGTTTTGAAGTTTGAGTTGAATGTTCCACTCTAATGTGGACAAAGCAGACAAACTCACTCGAGGATTGATAAGTGCAGTTGGAAGCACAGAGTTTACATGTGCAGGTTTTGGGGTGCCATTTCTGCTGTATCCTGCAGCATCTGAAGCTATCAAAGGTTTTGAAGGTTCATACCCATACAAAGTGCAAAGAGAAAGTTAGCAAATCAGAAAGCCAGACTCCAAAGGTGACACAAATGCTGACTGAGCCTGTTGGTGAGAGTGGCTGGAGAGGCAGAGATGGAGATTTTTAAAGGTCCTCAGATTGTTGAAGGGCAGTGAAAAGTGAGGATCTTAAACTGGAGCTTTTGAGATTGAGGTACATAAATAATCCCACTGTTATTTCCAGATAAAATAACCAACTGGATACCAACCACTTATTCAACAGTAATCAGCATTGAATATTGTACAAAGTGATCTTCAGTCCTACTTAATCTGTTCTTACATGAAATTTCTCTTTTAAATGAAAGCTTCTGAATATTTTATATGCTCTCTGTAAATGTACTTGTACTTGGTTATTTAGATTAAGCATAGCACCAAAAGTATGTGAAAGGATATTAACCTCCAACTAAGTTGTTTTTGTATTTTTCTTCATAGGTTTCCCCTGATTTACAGAATGAAGTGCTTATTAGCTTATTAGAGACTGACCCAGATGTTGTGGACTATTTGCTGAGGAGAAAAGCTTCCCAGTCATCGTGAGTAATCGGTTTTTTCATCATCCCTTTTTCTGCTGGGAATTTCTATCTCCCACTGGAAGTGTCCAAAAGGTTCTAGTTTTCCACAGCTCTTCTGCACTGTCTACAGTGGAATAGAAATATCCTCCCTATTACACAGACTCTGCCAAAGAAATTATGACTCTTGTACAGCATTTTCTAAAGACAAAACTGTTTCCTTGATTCAGAGGAAAGATTGTGTTCTGCTGCAGAGAACAGAATGACATGTACATAAAAATATTCAGTGCACTGTTATCTGACAGGATGTATTTTAGTCATCTGCTGGTTCATGTCTTGAATTTATTGTAGTTTTCAGTAACAGGAAGCATGTATTCCACTATCCTTGAAACACACCCTAGAGTGCCTTAACACCATCACAGCGAGCTGCTTGACCACTCATTCTTTTCCTATCCTATACACATAGGACATTGTGAACAAGCCAACTGCCACAACAGCAGTCCTATGGACGCTTTGGATATTATTTAATTGTATGCTTTGTGAAAGATCTGAAGAGAAAAATCACTCTGGTCACTATAGCAGTTATGATATATAACATATTCTGACCTTCTCTATGGTGTATATATGCCTGCACCCTTGTGCCTTAATGCTGTGAGTTTGTACATTCAGATTAACAGGGTTCATGGCTTTCTCATGGGACCACACAGTCATTGTCTTTATTCTAGTGAATCCCAATATGGCAGACACAAAAATCATAAAATTTGACAGACTTGCTTTAAGTAATATTTAAGAGGGTTTCTAGACTCTAAACTCTCTGGGACATACTGGACTTTGTCTTCCTATGTTTGTGGAAAGTGCCTAGTGCATTCAGAATATAATTAAAATTGAATTTGTACAGTCAGCTATGATTTTTTTTTCTCTCCCATTGTATAGTTGGAGGTAATATAATGGTGTGCCTGGCTTCAGAAGAAAAGATATACAAGAAATAGCATAGCTAACACCTTCAGGAAAAAGCTTTCTTTAACTATAAAATTTGGAAATGAAAATATGTGCAGAATATATTAAGTTGTAAAGGATTTTATTGGTTTGCTAACTTGACCACATGAAGTGGCACATTATCACAGATCATCTGATTTGGGGTAATTTTCTCTGTGTGAAATAATTTCAGCTGGTTTGTCTGACAAGTAGCCATGTGAATATTTAGATCACAGTAAGTGCAGGATAGTTAGAGGTACATGAGCTGTCTTTTAGACTTGTTTCACATTTGCCAGAAGCCAAGACTACAATTAGGACAGACACTACAAATCGTGTGACATAAGGCAGAGAGTAGAGACTTCTTCCTTTCAGCCCTTAATTTGGAATGGTCATATTATTTGTAACTCAAGCTAATAAAAACTTCATGATGGATTTCACCATCTATATACTAAAAAAACCATCAAATTTATCTCACATGTGACTACACATACCACTTTTGCATAAGTTAGTCACAAATCATTGTGGATGTAACAGGAATTGTTAGATCCTGTTTTCTTAATTGACTTTTCCTTGAAGTTCCTTACTTTTATCCAGCATGCACACCAACAGGAGAAAATGCATCTTTTTGTGGAAATCTGGCCACAACTGACAAAAGGCATTTTGTAAGGAAATGTTCTGAAGCCAAATAGAAGCATATAGCTACAGTAGTATTAATTTATTGTGTTGTCAGTAATGGGCAGATGAAATATCACTGAGATAAGAAAAATTACTGTCATATTCTTTCTACTCTGCTGTCATGTAAATGATTTACTTTTAATGTTGATGAGATATGTTTTCACTGTGGTTGCAGCTTCTTGGTTAAGGTATTCCAGGCAATTAGAGAGAATGTTGCTTAGTGTTATTGCTAGGAGTGTGATGCTCTTAAGAGATTAATGTATTTCACAACATAATCTCAATTTCGAGGTTACAAATGTGTTGCTAATTTTTCCTATAAGAAATGTGAGACAGCAGGCAACAAGGAGATATTTGTCTTGATTTCATGGAAATGAGCCTCCAAAATATATCATTATTGCTCTTGGAAATTGCCTGGTCACATACTCAAAATACAAATGTGAATTTGTATAATAAAAAACTTTATATATTCCTGAGACAGTCTTCATCAGAAGAGCTAGTTGACTGCATACAGAATCAACTTTAATGTCACATTAATTGCTTTGAAGGTCCTGTTCTGCAATTGTCCTCACATTTCTGCTCTTGCTGTCATTATCAATGCTTTCTTGGCTCTGATCTAACAGAGAAAACACAATCTCTTTTCCTCCCCAGAGGAGGACAAATCAGATGTTTCTCATCTTTCAGTTCCCTTAAGAGCTGAGCATTGTGAACAGTGTGTCAGGGAATTTTTGGAAGTTGTTCATGGTAAAGCGCTAATTACAAATGGCAGCAATTGTGAAGTGTGCTTTTGTGGGTGACTTCCCAATTTTTTGTATGTTGGCTTGATGACAATGGAATTTGGGTTTACAGCTGTAAGATGAAGCATCTTTAAACTAACAAAAAATAAAATCTATTTCTTATGGTTATTTATTGCTTATCATGGTTAGTAGTCCTTTCAAAGTAAATAAGTTTCAAAGTTACAGCATTTTTGGATGTTTTTGGATTATGATAATGAGTTTTAATCCATCCTTACCTGTGACATAAAGATGAAGCCATACAACAGGTCATACAGTATGTGTAAATGCAGTTTTTATAGCTGCAGAGGCTCCTTCAAACATTGAGTCCTGTACCCTATTACAGTAGCAACCACATCTTAATGCCACAGTAACCTGCCTTGTTGGTGGCACCTGTGTTACTCAGATACATGTGAAAATTAGTACCGTGGGCTGCCAAGCCATCACACTCCGTATGATTTGCCTCTTGAAGGCATAATTGTTTTCCCACTCAGAAGCTTTAAGTTTTTATAACAGAAAAGGGTTTCTGCCAGAAACAGAAAGGGAGTTCCTGTTTTGATAACCTTGATGCTAGCAGAAAAGTAGGAATATCCTCAGCAGAAGCAATTATTGTGATTAACACGTTTCCAATTCACTCATGCGACTGGACTCTGGTGGACAACATCAATTCATAGAAAGATGCCTGTTGTTTTGGAATCTGAAATTGTCTTTTAAAATTCATGTGGCATAGGTTCCTTCTGCTTTCAAATCTTTCCATTGGTACTTAACCACTTCTAAAATCTTTTCCTTACCATAGTTCGTAACCTCTAGAAAATACTTTACTTGCCTTCCTACCTCGCATTTGATTGCATATAATCATCTATTATTCTTTGTGAAGACCATAATCTGCCCTTCCTCATATTTTGCATGTAGAGGAGTGGGTATCTTGCACAGTATTTGTTTGACTTCCAATTTAGTTTCTCCCCACTGAGTGGGTAGAGAATCTCACTATCCAAGAGAAGAAGAATTTCAAATTGTAGTAAACATCCATTGCTAATGAACTCAAATAGTAAAGCAAACAGATGCAAAACTTTCATTTTTAGGAATTCGTGAGAATTCGTTCTATATTTGCAAAGAAGCAAACCAAAGTCTTCTTGCAAGTTGTTTTATTTTGTTTGTGAAGTAAAGCTGCAAATGTATAAGTTCAGTTTCCTGCTTTTAAGTATTTAACACATTTTGATGGTTTATTGTAGTAAGATTGACAGAGACCACAGCAGTTCCTTTGATTTTTAAAGCTATTTTGCCTAAACAAATTTGAAAGTGGTATTATACATGTATATGAAAAATAGTATGGACTTACCAGCCAAAACTGTAAATCAGTTTAGAAATTTGAATGTTTGAATCTTTCCAAACACTTGAAAGTTTCCATTCAGGTAAATTTTTAGCAGGAGCTCTGTCTTGAGAAGAGGTAGACTATAACAGATCATTCAAGGTAAGACATGAAATCAGTGTTTCACAAAACTCAAGTTTATGTTCCCACATTCCTTCATTTCCATTTTCGTTTCCCTTATTCCTTGTGTTACCTTGCCATAGATAAGTGCTGGTTTACCTCTGTCTTTGCCCTGTGCAGCAGATTTGGGTTTTGAAAAGATTTACATGCTATTAAAACCTTACTGTTAGATGACATTCAGTCTAGAAGGCTGGAAAGAAGGACACTTGGTCACAGGAAACCTGCAGATACAAAAATTTCTCCCCTTTTCTAAGAGGTTCTTGTAGTTCTTCTGAAAATCCCATGGCACTGCTTAAATCTCATATCAATGCACAAGGGTTTTTAGGACTTAGGAGGACAGAAAGAAAGAAGCAAGTGGCAAAAAAAGAGAAAAAAGGTTTGTGATAGAATGATACATACTTTAAAAACTTCACTGTGTGTTTGTAGATTAATTTCCATTGGACTCATGTTCAGATAAGAAGTTTAGATGAGAAGTTACATAATTGAGGGTTTTTTGGTTGTTTGGGGGTTTTTTTATGACTCCTCTGCATTACCATGCTGCCCTGGGAAGCTTATGACAGAACAGCTTTGCCAAATGGCAGCTCTGTTTTTTGAGTTTGCCTCAGTTTAACTCCAGTGATGGTTTTGTCACTGACAGTTACTGAGGAGTAACATTATTTAATTAATTCCCAACATTTCATGGTTGCTTTCATGCTGAAAAAAAAATAGGAATATTTAATAACATAGTAATCATTCTGTCAGTTGTATATATTTTATTTTTTGGGACATGCAATATGTAAATCAGCTGGAGAAAAAACAACAGATTGAAAGTGGTGTTAAGTTTTGTCCTTATTTCTGTATTAATATTTACTGTGTTGTTGCTAGCTGTGTGTTTTCTTTCTTTTCTTTCTTCAGTTTTATTTTATTTGTCTGGAAAGAGGGTTACTGTTCTATAGCGAGAAATGAGTTTTGGCTGCTCACTACATTCAAGCTGTCTTTGGATTTGACTATGAAAAGGGCTGACCATTTTCAGACATTTACAGGAATGATCCTCTGTTGTATCACATTTAATTAGAACAGATATTAACGAGAGGTCGCTCAAAGAAGTGTTTGACTCAAGAGAAGCAAAAGATAAACATCTACAAAACAAAGGTGCAGAGAAATGAAAAATTAGTAATAAAAATATAAGTTAGTGAGGAACAATAGAGAAAAAGTTGTTTATTTGCAGAGTAGTTCTACGTGTTTCTTGTGATATTCAGTGACTCACAGCCTGCCTCCTACCTGCAAGGCAAACTGTGACAGTTCAAGAAATCTCCACCAATGTTCCCAGCACATTTCAAAAATGAGTTGTCTCTCTGATCTTTGGCTGTACTTAGGTGGGAGTTGTGTTTGCCTTTTCTTGGCAAAAATAAACGCAGTTTATGTTGTTGGGGGTGTGAAGGTGAAAAGGTAAAAGAAGTTGTAGAAGATATCAGTGGAACCAGTTGTTTGATGCTCAGTCATAAGTACAGTAAATACATCTGTTTGTCCCCTGTAGAATATTTACCTTCCTATGTCTCTAGAAGAGGATTGTTCTCATAGTGTGAAAGGCAAGCTGAGTGCTTGATTTCTCTATGCAAAACTTCAGAATACAAGAATTTATTTTAGCATACTGCTTTGAATCAAGTTAATCTTTCCTATCATGCCTTCAGTTTTATTGTTGCCACAAGTTACATTGTCAAGGTAACATAAGGAATTGATTCACTGCTTAGTTTCCTCTGGTTTACTGTACAGCTGTGTGGGTTTTTTGTTGTTTTCTTTCTTGACAGCAACATCTTTTGATTTTGAGTGGCCTCTGCTGGCCACTTCATGGCAAAAGCTTTACTCATGGAAAATCCACCTCAATAACTGTTTCTGAAGTGTTTTCATTTCAGCAGCTGTGACCATTCTTGTGTATTTGATTTTATCTGTATGATCATAGAATCATAGAATGGTTGGGTTGGAAGGGACCTTAAAAGTAATCTAGTTCCAAGCCCCCTGCCATGGGCAGGGGCACCTTTCACTAGACCAGATTGTTCAGTGCCCCATCCAACCTGGCCTTGATGTCAAACTGCACCTGTAACTGTGAGCATGATGCATTTTGTTATTAACAGTAGTTTTTTCATCAAAATTTCTCAGGAGCCCTGAGATGCTGCGGTCAGAAGGTTCCTACTCCACAGGAGAAAGACATTCTTCCACAGACTCCAACAAAGCTTCCAGTGGTGACGTCTCCCCTTATGACAACAACTCCCCGGTGCTGTCTGAGCGCTCGCTGCTGGCAATGCAAGAAGAAGTTGCCCGGAGCCCAGATAAGCTGTACAAGGTACCTGAGCAGTACACGCTGGTTGGACACTTGCAAACTAAGCCAAAGGAGAATTCTTCTGCATCACAGGCTGCCAAAGGTATAGTGCATCCTGCTTGTGTCCCTCCTCATCAGTGACTGATAAAGTTTTCCTGAAATAATTGGAAAATGCTGAATTTGTATTGTCAGCTACCAGGATTTGAGGAGCAATAGTGTAAATAACCTTATTTAAAAAATGACAGGCCAGTATCCTTTTTTTCTGTATTGAGCCTAAAGGATCTGTGCTGAGTCCTTCTCATTAGCTCAAGGGATGCTCTTCGTATGGCATTTCTCAAAACTTGGAGGTATTATTTAGGAATGCAGAACTATGTATGTCCAGTTTTTCAGCCTGTGACAGCATGGCAAAGTCTAGTCCTGATCCATTGGACCTACAAGGTCATGGTCCAGGCTTTGGAAAAAGCTTATTTTAAGATTTCAGGCACAAACTTTCTCCAGTTGTAAAGAATTAACTCTACACCCACTCACTTGAAAATATAGCTGAGCTGTACAGCTTTACATCTGCAACCAATTACACACTGAGCATGCTAGTGCAGGGATCCATTATTCCTGTAGCTACCTGGGGAGTGCATACCTGAATGATTTCTTTGGTCAAGAACTGTGGTTTAAACTAAGAGCTCACCAGCACTTCAAGATGCTTTTCCTATAAAAATATTCACATTAAAAAATTGTCATCCATGAAACTTATGCTTAGTGAGCCAAACTTTAAGAAATTTCAATGCTTAGGGATGCACATAACTGGTGGTATTTTTAAAACCACTTAATTTCTGATGTACTGCCTAGGCACTTAATTCCCTTTGGAATTAATGGGATTTAGACTAATATCTCAATTACATGCTTTATAAATGCCAATTGGAATTTATCTTCTGTATTCAATATCTAAATCTCTGAACAGGTTTAAGAATTTGGTCAGATTTCTATTAAGTTACGAACAGGAAATTACATGAAGTTTTATCGTATTAACCATCTTTTGGACTTTAATATGCATCACAAAGGTACTGGACCATGAAAAATTAGGAAATTCCTCTACTGACTAGTGGAATCAGAAAAAGGCATTAAACTGTTTATAACCTATCATTTCATTAAATCTTTGTTCTGTGGCTGCACTTCTGGGTAAGATTGGCAGCATCCTTGGGTTGATAGAGCATGCCTTACAGTAAGCCCTGGAGCTGGGGCTGCCTGAGTGAGCTTTGCCAGAAACTACCTTTTGTGGACCAAATCCCCCTGTTCTTGTGCAAATTCTCTGACTTCAGCAAGGCAGAGGACTTAAGGATTCAGCAAACTCAGGCACCTGCCCCTACAGAGCTTACTGAACCCATTGCAGGATCTGATCTTGAAACAAGCAGCTGTGAGCAACTACATAGAATCAGAATGCAAGGGTTTGAAATGGACCTAAAGATCATCAGTCCCAACCTCCCCCTACCACGGCAGGGACACCTCCCATTAGATCTGATTGCTCAAGGCCTTATCCAGCCTAGTCTTGAACACTGCCAGGCTTGGGGCATCCAAAGCCTCTCTGGGCAACCTGTTCCAGTGCCTCACCACTCTCACAGTAAAAAATTTCTTCCTAATATCTAACCTGAATTTCCTCACTTGCAATTTGCACCCATTACTCCTTGTCCTATCACTATAGTTCCTGATGGAGAGTCTCTTGCTGGCTCCCCTCTCAGCCCCCTTGAGATACTGGAAGCCTCTTACAAGGTCTCCCTACAACTTTCTCTTCTCCTGGCTGATCAGCCCCAATTTACTCAGCCGGTGTTTGTAGATAAAGGTGCTCCAGTCCTCTTACCAGCATCATAGCTCTCCTCTGGATTTTTTCCTTCATTTCCATGTCCTTATGCTGTGGTGACCATAACTGTACAGACTACTCCAGGTGGGCTCTCACATATGAGAAGTTCATGTTAGATACACAGTGAAGGTGCCACTGGATGTTAATGACTCTGATACATTACATAAGGTTTTACCTTTCTATTTACGTATTTCTAAATAATGTCTGTAAGAGGATTGATTTTTTTGATTTTTTTTAAATCTTTTCCCTGCTCTTACTGCTGTTTAGATGTTTCTGAAGATCATTTTGATATCTGGGGCACTTGGCATTCAACGCTGAAAAGTGGCTGCAAAGATCCAGTAATCACAGGTAAGTAATTTCTCAATTTTAAAGCCAAATCTAGCAAAGAAAAAAATCAACTCCTTGTTTTCAAGAAATCACTGTGTAATCAGGAGAATTCACATTGTCCAGAGCTGGACTTTTAGAATGTGACTCTTAAGTAGAACAGTGGTTATACTTCTCTGTATTCAGTGGAATACAGAAAACAGCAGCATTTCAAACAGTCAAATCTAATTTTAAAAGTAATTTTTAAATTGCTTCAAGAAATAGTTTTGAATTCTTCTAGAACACAGAGAATCATAGAACCATAGAGTGATAAGGGTTGGAAGGGGCCTTAGAGATGATCTACTCCTAACCCCCCTCCTTTGGGCAGGGACACTTCCAACTAAACTGGGTTGCTCAAGGCCTTGAACACTGCCAGGGTTGGGGCATCCCCAGCCTCTCTGAGCAATCTGTTCCAGTGTTTAACCACCTTCACAGTAAACATTTCTTCCTCATATCTAACCTGAATTTCCCCTCTTTCAGTTTGTACCCATTACTCCTTGTGCTGTCACTACAGTTCCTGATGAAGAGTCCCTCTCTGGTTTCCCTGTCAGCCCCCTTCAGATACGGGAAGGTGCTGGGAGGTTTCTGTGCAATCTTCTCCACTCCAGGCTGAACAGCCCCACCTCTCTCAGCCTGTCCCAGCCCCCATCCCTCTTCTGCGGTGTGATACAAGGGAAAAGCAGTAGCTTGTTAAAAGCCACGTGAATGGTTCTGCAGACTCATGTTGTGATTCTGACTCTTCCCCCAGGTTCTTACGGGAACATCTATGAGAGCAGCTCGCTGCGGCCCGGACAGTGCTCCCTTTCCCAGGGGAACCTGGCCGCGTGTTCCCCTCGGTGGCAGGGCAGCTCCTCGGAGCTGGACAGCGGCCGGCAGGTGATGCGCAGGAGCCAGACGACAGCTGCCATTCCCGAGTGCCAGCTCCAGCCCCTGGGGTCTCGGCTGTGCACTCACCCACGCAGTGAAGTTGGCTGCAGGAGTTCAGAGCTGTCCCACTCCAGGTCGGAGCAGCACTTGACTTTGAGCAGTGTGGAGGACCTCAGTGAGCACGACTCGAGCGCGGGCTGTTTGCAAAGCGCAGCCAAGCCCTCCTACAGGAAAGAGCGGCCGCCACCCCCTTACCCAGGCCCAGCAAAAACAAGCTCTGCCTTGCCGCAGCGCTCGGGTGTTTCCTCAACTCTGCACTCTTTGTGGAGACTTCAGCGCCCAGAGAAAGGTTCAGGGCTGAGAGCAGCTGGAGGGCCACCAGGCAGAGCCCCTGACCCGGCCACCCCCAGGCAGGAGCAGCCGGGCCCGCACACACAAGCGGGTCACAGCTATTCCACAGCACCTCACAGCCAGAACAGTAAAAGTGTTTCAGAGGCGGACTGGAATGAGTGGCAAAGGGAGAGGTGGCAGATTTGGGAGCTGTTATCAGCTGATAACCCTGATGCCCTCCCAGAAACCCTTGTATGATCTGACTCTGTGGAACTGCCGCTCATACCCGTGCCTCCGACTCATAGGAAAACAACGGTGACATTGGAAAACAGGGAGGGCTTGTTTGTTTTATACCAACTGTATTGCATATACTTTTTTTAACTTTGTTCACTTTAATTTCTTAACAGCACTGTCAAGCAGTTAATTTACAAATACAGTATGTTCCTGTTTTTCAGCAAGCATTTGAGAAAAAACAAGGTGAAAACTTCAGTGTAATAACTCTGTATGCATATGCTGTGTATAAGATAAAACCGTTGCTTTGATGTTGCTAAAAATGTATTTATATATCTGCAGTTTTGATGATTGTATATTCTGTAATGGGTATTGTATGATAATCATGTTATGTTTTCATATACAGATGTCAATCAATCATGACTGCTTTTTTTAAAAAAATCACTGAACTTACATTACCATGATATGCATTGGAATTCTATAGAAAGTGCACAAGCTGGTTTCTGTGCTTATATATATATATTAAAAAAAAAAAAAAAGCTGTTAAAGGGGAAAGTTGTACTTCTTTTCACTGCCTTTTGGAAAACACTAAAATAAAGTGGAACATGAAAAGCCATATATTTTATAAGGGTAGTAGTGAGCTTAGAGGGGGAAATACAAAATATTTTTTTCTTATACATATGTTTTCAAAAAACTTTAAAATTTGGTACAAGATTGTAAAAGTATTTTTTTAGATTCTGGTAGGAAGCAGCTCAGAGAATCTAAGAACACTGTGCCTAAACCAACTAAGTATGTAGTGCAAAGTCTGCCCTCCCATTCTAAAGGAAAACCAATGTTATATATGCAGGATATAATATATATATTTATAAATGTATGATTTTATGTATAGTTTTAAAACAATAAACTGGAATCCAAATTTTAGAAAACCAAACCTAATAAATTGAGATGCATAACACTGAGAAAGAATATGGCTTTTCCTTTGAAATATCAAAGCTCCAGCATTAAGAAAGTTAGAGAAAGGAAAAAAATGCAGACAGGCACATGAAAGGGAGACAAGTAGAGTTTCAGAAATGAACATGACATTTGGAGAAGCTCACAACTGTGTTTCTATAAATATTGTGCCAAAGTCTGGGTCAGTCACACCTCCTGGGTAGCTGTATGTTGTGTTAAATGTTGCTGTTTTATACACGTTGCTTTTCAGCTGCAGAGCCGTTGTTGGGCAGTGGGTGGCAATGCACTGCAGCGTTCCAGAGAAATTCCTTCTTAGCACTCCATAAGGGAAAGTGTATCATATCAAAATAATTTTATAAAACATATTAGTCTTAATTTTAATGAAGTTGAAGGCTTATTCAGTGATGTTGTCTTTAAGTTCTATCTTGTGCCATAATGATGGAATAAAAAGCTAAGTAAAACAATGAGCATATTTTTTGCTCTTTTTTTTAAAGTAAGTTTATGTGATATTGATGTGTTTTTGTACATTCTTGAGTGTCTCTATCAAAAACATCTAAAAGACTTAGGAGATTAAGGGCCACCTTCAAATGCAACTTAAATATACAAGATTCAAGGTTTTACTTTAGTTTGAGGTTTAAAATCCATCATATAAAGAGTCCTTCCCCTCATATCTCCATTTTCCAAGTAAAGTTATAAGATAAAAGCACCAAGCCAAGTAGAAAGGGGCAGGATTTGGCCTTTGACTGTTGTAGCTCTTTTTATGCAGAATAAGTATCACTCTCTTCTGGTCGTTGCAAGACTTTTCCAAATATTATTGTGGTATAAGACTTGATAGGAAAAGATTCTTGTGTGTCCCTTGTTGCAGCAGCCCTGTGTCAATTTATCCCAAAATAAAGGCACTCCACCCCAAATTAAAATGATTGTGGAATATAAGGAAAGACAAAAATGAGCTCTTGCAATCTTCACTATTTGATCTTGCCTCAACATTACTCCAGGCTTGGTACAGGTTTGCTACATGGAATTATTTCCCAAGTACTCCTCAAAACCAGTTATAGTGTAAATCTTGCTGCAGAAGATACTGTATTCACTAGATGTCCATCTCTTCATTTTAAACCCTTCTAAAAACAGGAGCACTGCACCCTGTTCAGTAAAAGATGTCTGAGGATTACTTAGCCTCATGAAAATATTGCCTTTTGCCACTCCCTATCCCTGTATGTATTTATATTTGTATATCTGTGGATTACCATCTACATAGAGTTTATGCAACAAAAGATGAAAACAAAAGGCAAGACAAAAGACAAGACCACTGCTGGACGACAGCCTTGTGTGCACACTTTTCAATAGATTGTCATGTGGAAGAGATACAAAATAAATTCCAATAAATTAAAGTAATGCTTGGCAAGACTACATAATTTCTGTCATTTTCATTTGAACAGGACGAAGTAGAATTATCATGAGCAGGTTAAGAATGTAAGTTTTAGTTTTCAGCCTTTCCAGACTGAAATCAGTGACATAATTTAAAAAAAAAAAATTCACAAGAAAGGTAGCCATGAAAGCTTGTTTCTAGTTTTATGTTGGGTGATAGATCTGTGTGGGATATCCCCTTTTAGCTCTCTAAATGATCCTATGACACATGCTCTTGAATAGCCATAAAACTCATTTTACAGGGAAAGTCTCTAGTGTGAGGGTATCAGAGCTTTTCTCGGACTCTCTCCCTTGGGAGGAGGATTCCTGTCTTAGGAAAGGGGTCATGGGCCTGTGCTTTAATGAAGAGGTAGAGAAGGCCCCCTCTGGAGGTCTTGAGGCCTCTGGGCAAACTCAATTTCCCTCCAATCACTTCTTATCACACCACACTAGTTCACACCTATAATTATAAATAAACCCCTTTCCCCTCCTGGGCTGAACTAACTCTCTCATGAGGTGTCTCCCAGCTGGGAGGAGGGATGTGCTGCACTCACAGGTGAGCCCAGGAAAGATGGGCTGTGAGTGCTCCAAGGACAGGGTGCCTGCGAGTTGCCCGTGGGGCAGGGGTTGCATTTCTGCTGCAGAAACAAAAAAAATGCACGGATCCAGTCCAACTCTAGGTACAAGCCTTCAGCCAGGGGAGAACGAAAAGACAGACTTTAAAATACTACTTTACAGATTACTGTTGCTGCCATCGTTTAAGACAAGCTGTGATTTCACTGTTGCATTGTGCATTCTCATGCTCCCCTGCTGAACGGTCAGTTGTGCCTTCTCCCTCTTCCCCAGCTTACTATGCCATCCCTTAGACCAACTCATGGAGTGTTGGAACTCTGGAAACTGAGGGTTTTGGATTTTCTGTGCTAACCCTCAAGAAAACACAGCTTTTGACCTGAAGCTTTGGAGAAGACTCCCAAAATTGAGTAATAGAACTAGAATCACTAGTGTGTAGTTTAAATAAAAGTGTCTAATATCACATGGTAGAAGATTTAGAATTTAAGGTTTTAGAATATGAAAGCATGTGAAAGACAAAATGGAAGTTTTGGGGCAGAATTTTCTTTCTTCTTCACCTTCTTCTTCATGAATCTAAGTAAGATCTTGTTTTAATGAATAAAAAAATTCCACATTCCAATTCACAGTGTTTAGTTATTGGGTCAAAAGGAAAAATAATTTAGGTGTTAGTTCCTAATTGAACTGTTAGGCCTTAAAAGGCCTTGCAACGAAAAAGATACATCACCATTTCACTATTTTTAACTTATTAGCTGAAAGTGCTGTAGCACTCACTATAATATAGATAAAAATTAATAAACATCTAAGTACGAACACAAAATACCATCGCTTGAACTTTTAAATCCCAACTCTAGCAAAAGAAAAAAACCAGTAAAAATGGAGGGAAGAGTTCCAGGGCTTGTAGATCTGGCTGAAACTTGTCCTGAGCAAGGAACACATAAAATTCAGGTGGCTTAGTAGCTCTCACAAGTGATGGGTACAGGGGAGGAGGAGGGACAGGGTCAGAGATGGGAAGAGGAGAAGGGTGGGACTGGCTCCTCTGTCAGGTGCTTGAGCAACCTGAGGCTTGCTGCTCCATCCTGCAGGCAGGAGCCCAGCCCAGCACTTGAGAGTGGCTCTGAGATACAAACCTGAGCCAATCCAGCTGCTGCCTCGGGTACAGAAATCTCGAGCACTGTGCTGTCTCCATTGGGAGCCCAGGCTGCTACCATGACATAGATTAATGCCACTCAGAACTTCTCTGCTGTTGAAATGATGAGGGTCAGTGGGCTGGAATTTGTGGTTGTATGGTGCGGGGAGGGAGGCATTACCTGTTTTTTCACTGGTTTTGTTTCACAGGTCAGAAATCACAATTCCATCCTTTGGAACACCAGCTTGCCCTGTGTTGCTGGTCTGGCAGAGGATCAGGGACTTCTTTCTCCTCTGGGAAACACACAGGATGTCTGAGCTTCATGTTGCTCCTTTTCTCTGTCTCTCTCTTTCCCTCCCTTCTTTTTGCATTAAAAAAAACAAATAGTAGCTCCATTATGCAGTACTTAACCTTACAGAGCTGCGAAGCAGTGGGAATGGTTCTCAGTTGCATTAAAGAGTATTTTGACATCAGTACATTCTTTTACATCACTGGGAACTGCCAAGCACTGCTGTGCTGCAGTTTCTACAGGGGAAAGAATCTGCAGCCACACAGTGCTGTTCCAGAGCTGTTCTAGGCATGTAGACACTCAGGCTACTGGGTCATAAAATGTACCCTCTCTGAGAATAGCTTTAATTTGTTTTTTTCTGGAGTGCAAAGCATCTCAAAAAGTTGTATCTGCATCTGGAAAATTTATTCACAGACTCCCTTTTTATTCAGTGGAAAGATGTGGGTATTTCTGTTGCCACGTTGATACAGCCTACATGTGTCTTTCTTTGAAGGACAGTCTCTTTTGAAGGGCTGGTTACTAGAAGGGCCTATTTTTTCCTTCCCCTGCCATATAAAGGGAGCCTAAATAAGTCACCCAAATACGGTAGCCCTCCAAGTTTGTTGGAGTGAATCCCACCCTGAGGGTCTAGTAAAACAGAAAATGGATGGTGAATGTTCTACACAAGTTTCCAGCTGCTAGGAAAAGTGGAATTTACCCAGAGGCTTCAGCATTGTGGTTCCTAGGTGAACCTGGTGCTAGTGGGGCTGGCAGAGTGTGTTGTTCCTGGGGCCTGGGGAGATGGAACAGTCAGCTCTGGGACAAATGCAGGGTTTTTGCAAAGTGAAGGAGAGATGCTGCCTGGTCTGGAATTTCACCTTTTGTTGTTGTTGTTGTTGTGTGACTGGTTGGTTGGTTGGTTTTTTAGTTGGATTTCTTTACAGACTATGATTTAATTAATTTGTTCAATGACTTTAAAAATGAATATATGATTTCTGGAAGAAAGCTAATTTGGACATTTTATATACATATATATATAGTAGGGACGTGGCTTGTATTGATTCCCAAGTGGCACTGGCAAATGGAGACAGGCAGATAAAATCTTCCTTTTGAAAGATGGATGTTAATTCTCTTTCTTCTGCTTTTGAGAAAGTAAGAAGACTTTGTCTTTGCCACTGGAGTTTTAGGGTCAAAGAGAGAGGAGAGTAGGAAGGAGGGAGGAGGAAAGAGGATCCACTTCTCTCTTAAATTGCAGTTGGGAGGGGTGAAAGCATGTGCAGTATCTCCAGATGAGTGATTGTCACACTCTCTGAGTGAGAACTTCAGCCCCAGACTCTCTTCATTCTTCTAATGATTATTCAAACTTTTAAATAAAAGAGAATGACTTTTAACAGTGTCTCTTTTGAACAAAGGGGACATGAATAGTCACTTCAATCACCACTTCCTTTTGCAGGGTTTGCTCTATTCCATTTCCCTTTGTCTACTTCCAGCCATAGCTGTGGGCTTTAATTAAAAAAAAAAATTAAACAGGCCTGGGAAAAAAGATTTCTTTCTGCATCATCTTAATAAGAATCCAAATTTTGTCTGCTTTGGAAAAGGACTATTGGCCAACCAAAGCATCCTCTAGAGTACAGAAACTCTTCAACCATTATGAGAAACAACCACCTGACCCTGATTAGTGTCTTCAACTTCACAGAGGTGAAGTA